TTGGGAAGGGTTTTGAAGTTTGTTGAATATTTCTCTGAACCAAATACTAATATATAAGAGGAAGAATGAACTGTTCCAAGATGTAAGCCAATTTTTTTATTCCAGAACATGATTTCCATGGTATTTTATCCTTCCCTGGCATTGGTTTTTGAAAGTAAGTGTGAAATTGTGAACCTGCCTCTCTGCCTTTAGATACTTCTTGGGATCATGAATCGTGTCTTACCTTTGCGTCTAGAGCAGAGAGCGTATAAATGGCAAGCGTGTAACTGGCTTTTGAGTGAGTGAACAAGTAAAAGAAATAATGGTTTGTTTGAAAAGTTGCCTTGGTAGTACATAATTCCTTGAAACACCGAATTTCATGTATGTTTCTCCAGTGCCTTCATTATGTCTTATATGTAACCATTATTGTCTGAATACTTACTTTGGGTTCACTTAGGTTCTCTTATGGAGAAAAAAAATACTCTTGCTGCGCTAACGCTTACAAATAGAACCAGACGCTAAAGATTTAAAATTCTTCCATTAAAAGGAAAATTGTCAAATGTTAAGACGTTTATGGGTTCAGTGGAACTTAGTAAAGGTACACCTGATAAAGGTGTGCCGAAAGTTCTCAAATAACTGGCTACCCTAGAGTCAGGGGTAATACTAAGTCTACACACTTAGTATCTTTGCCACTAAGTGTCATTTAGGAAGTGACATTAGGCAGCTTCAGTGCATTCTTGAGCACTAGAAGCCAAGTGTGATACCATAGTATTTTACAGTGCTCTACTTGGCAAGTATATTTTTCTGTGTTTGGAGAAAAGAAAGTGTTAAAATCTTGGCAGCCTGGTCTCCAAGGACATCACTGTTGGGAAGGCATCGGTTTGATGGCTCTTGCCTGTACTCCGTCTTGGAATGCTGTGTTCAACAGGGAAAGCCATATTGAAAGGAAAAGTGCGTGTGATAAATGGTCCTTTGGGCCCAGTTCCCAGGAATACTTGACCATGTGTAGCAAGGTGTCTCCTGTCGCCTCTCTTCAGGACTGTCCAGGCTTATATGCCACAGTGCCAAACGTGAAGTTAATTGCAGCTCCTTTTGTTGTCTTTTTTTTTTTTTTTTGTCATTTTGCCTTCGCCTTTTGGTTGTTTAGACAAGTCTGAATCCTTGGGAAGCCTGCACTGTTAACCTTGTTGGCTGCATCTTCCGGGAACCCTATGTGTTAAAGGGTGTGATGGGAGCAGGTTGGAGGGAGGCAGGAAGGACTCGCGTCGAGTGTCCTGCAGTAATTCTTTCCCAGCACTTTCTCCGCTTGGCTATTCTCTCTCTCTCTCTCTCTCTCTCTCTCTCCACGTGGCTTCTCTCGCTGTCCCTCTGTCTCTCTGTCTGTCTGTCTGTCTCTCTCTCTTAGGGCTCTTGGAATTGGAAATTCAGAGTCAGAAGGCTAGAGCTCTTTAACATAACAATGATGGCTTTTGTTTTTGGCTTAACTGTCGAGATTATTTAAACAAAGGGTAGTTATGTTTTTTTAAGCAGGTTTGGAGAAGTCAACCTTTATTTCAAGTGAAAAGAAAGTTCTTGGGTAGAAGTGTAGCCTTTTTTGACTACTCATTCTTTTCTTATTCCAACTAGAAGATCATAAGGAAAAGAGCTAACGCTTTCTGTCATGCTGGAAAGTACTTGCGAAATTTACACATTGGCAGTTAGTTCAGTTACCGCTTGCTAGCCTGGTAGCACTCTGTTTTGGAGCTCATTGCAATTAGGATTGTATACATTTTGTGGAAGTTTGAAATCGAGAAAAGTGACCCACTAAGACTACTGATGGTGAACAGAGCAGTGTGGATCTCTTCTCATTTTTAAAGATTCCTAATCTTTCATTACCTCACCTGTTGGGTACCTCACCTCTTAGTTTATTATGTGCACAGTTGCTAGAACTCTCTCCCTGCCGCACTGGGAACATAAAATCCAGGCATTTAGCATTGTGGTCCCCTGGTGAAGTGGTGGGAAATCTTCAGGTGTCTGTGATGAGTCTACATTCGCATGTCTGTTCCATGAGGATGAAGCAGGAAAAGAAAGAATTAAATCAAACTTTAAAGATCTGAAAAGAGTTAACTTTCATAGTAGTTGAAAGAATAGCTGGAGATGATTTACTGGGTTCCTTTAAATATTTATAATTTCAAATTGTAACTATTCTGGAAGGAAGTCTTTGTAACTAAATAGATGATCTTGGTCAAGTCATCTGGCCCTTCCGAGCGTCAGTTTTTAAAACCACATCAATAAGAACTACAGTGTGGACGTCACCTTAGAATTTTCTCAGTAATTTTACATAAATTACATAATTGGCATAAATTATTTCATTTACTCCTTACAACATTTCAATAGAATAAAGAAATCAAAATACAAAAGTCGTAAGAGACTTTTCTAATATCATGTAGCCTGCAAGTGCTCGAACCGAGTCCTCGGTCAAGTCCTTCGTGCTCCTCAGTCCTCTTATGTGCTCACATGAGAGTGTAGGGCTGGCCCCTCTAAAATTCTAAGGCACTGTCAGGTATTTTTTATTTAAAAAAATTTTTTTTACAGCATCTGAGTCCACTTACCCTGGGTTGTTTTATTTGTTTTTTTTTTTCCTGAAAGCACATTTTAGGATTACTATTTTATTGTTTTAAAAATATTTTTATAGTTTATTTTTTTTATTTGAGACAGAGAGAGAGAGAGCATGAGCAGGGGAGGGGCAGAGAGAGAGGGAGACACAGAATCTGAAACAGGCTCCAGGCTCTGAGCTGCCAGCACAGAACCCGATGCAGGGCTCCAACCCATGAACCGCGAGATCATGACCTAAGCCGAAGTCGGACACTTAACCAGCTAAGCCACCCAGCCACCCCTAGGATTACTATTTTAAATGTCCTTTTTTTTTTTCCCCCGGCCAAAAGTACATTTAAAAAATTAACAGGGGACACTTAGGTGGCTTAGTCAGTTGAGTGTCTGACAATTAAGTTTTAATTTTTTAAATTTTGGCTCAGGTCATGATCTCACAGTTTTGTGGGTTCAGGCCTCCTTGGAATTCTCCCTCTCTCTCTCTTCCCTAGCTCACTTTGTCTCTACCTCTCTCAAAATGAATAAATAAACTTTAAAAAATTTAACAGAATGGGGGCCCTCGCTGGGTTAGTCGCTGACGGTAGAGCGTGCGACTCTTGATCTCGGGGTCATGAGTTTGAGCCCCACATTGGGTGTAGAGATGGCTTAAAAATAAAATCTTAAAAAAAAAAAAAAGATGAAGATGGGGGCGCCTGGGTGACTCAGTCCGTTAAGCATCCGACTTGGGCTCAGGTCATGATCTCATGGTTCGTGGGTTCAAGCCCCGCATCGGGCTCTGTGCTGACAGCTCAGAGCCTGGAGCCTGTTTCAGATTCTGTGTCTTCCTCTCTCTCTGACCCTCCCCTGCTTATGCTGTTTCTCTCTCTCAGAAATAAATAAAACATTAAAAAAAAAAAAAAAGACGAAGAGGTAGATTTAGTCTCATTCACAAATGATTTTCACAATAAAAAATTTAATTTAATGATGAGAGAAGAGACTGTAAAAAGCAACCTACTTTGTATTTTTTAAATTTGACTTTTACACATTCTTCAAGTTACAGTGCCTTTTAGACAAATCTCTTTGAAAAGGACAGTTTCAGGTTTTTCTTAAATAATAGTTAAATGCTTTAATAATGTTAGCAACATCAGAACAAGAAGCTTAAATTGTAAGAACTGTCTGTCAGTTGCACAGTATGCAGTCTTAGACCTCAGCGTTGTGCTACTCAGAGCATTCAGATTTAAGAGCTGAACCTGCTCATTTGTCTAAAAGGTTGCATGTATCTTTTCATAGCTTCCTGGTTAATAAGTGGTTAAACAGATTAGCACCTGACTTTAGCCTTAAACTAACTGGGGAAACAACTTTCCAGGAAATCCACAGATGTTGTCCATATGCATGTGGTCTTTGCTCTTGAGAGGAAAATCTGGGGGCTTGAATTGTTGGAACACAGTTTGAGGCTTGGCTTATCAGTATACATTGGAGGTTCAAGAAAATCTGTCTTTCAGTCTTTATTCTTGTTTTATGTGGATTTTATTCTTGTTTTTGTTTCTGGAGTCTAAAATTCTTTCTCTCTCGTTTCTGGAAAGAACTCAATTTCTGAGTCAGTGAATTTCTGTTCATCAGTTTGTTTAAATACTTTTCTTGAGAATTTGTCCAAAAGAAGTTAAATCCTTAAGGATTTTTTTTTTCTTTTTTTTTGCAAGGGCTGGTTGACAGTTAGAGGTAAGGGATGTTTTTGCCTATTGCCTTTTCCGGGAGTAACTGAGAATAAGATGCTCCCCTAAGTTATTCTTGAATACATTTCATCCTGTATGTGGTCAGTTCATGATCCCTTTCACAAACACTGCTGCCCACCATTAAGTCTCTCATCACAGGGCATTTTAAAACGATGCCATAAAATGCATGTTGAGAATCTTTGGATCTCAAATGTATAGCAGTCACATCTAAATGTCAATTCCTGAGTTAAGGAACTGACAGTTATGGCAATTTCAGTCTCTTCTATTAATATTTAGTAGTCAAGAGATTATGGTATTGTTTATGTTATTCCTTATGTGTGTGTAGACTTAACTACTTGTTGAAAAGATTTGTGTTTTATTGGGGCTGTATATTTCTGCCACTGTACTGATTTGCTTACTTGAATTAAAGCCGTTCTTTAATTGTTTTGGGCTGTATCTATAGTTTGAAATTTTGGACCGTCCCCTGTGTACTATGCACCAGAGATGACATTTCAGTGCATTGTTCAAATACTACACAGCTACTATTTGTCTAATGAAGCTGTATGACTGGGCCCATTTATTTCAATATTAGTTACTTTATATTATCCATATAAATGATAATGATTAATATGTAGAGTCTGATTTTCCAAATTCATTTGTGTCTCCTCTGGGCATTTCTTTGGGATGTGTTCACTCTCATGTTTTCGTTCCTGATTTTAAAATAATTTTCCTTTGTTGTAGGATGAGCAGTTCTTAGGTTTTGGCTCAGATGAAGAAGTCCGAGTACGAAGTCCCACAAGGTCTCCTTCAGGTACGGCCAGTTAAGTGCTTGGCGCCTTTTGTTTGTTTAAAAAGACCAAGATGCTTGCCTTCTTTGCATTTAAAGGATGATCTTAAATACTGAGGGTTTCTTTGTGCACCCTTCCCTTTCCCTCACACTGAGTAGGAGATGGCTTATTAACTAGACCTCTTTACGGGGTTCTTTGTCAAGCCACTTCTGCTTTATTCTTTATTATGCTTGACTGTGGAAACCACTTGAGGCGGGGGTGGGGGTGGGGGAGTGGGGGAGTGGGGGGGTGGTGGTTAGTTTCCATGGAATGACTGAAGAACCCTGAAGAACCCGGGGGTTGAATTAAAGGTAACTCTGAATGAACATCTTCAGATTCATATGTTTTGAATGATACGGTAGTATATGTAACTTTGGGAATAATCTGGCTGCTTTTTACAGATGAAATTCGGTTTAACTGTTGTCAAAATATTGACACTGTATGAAACCATTTCCTCAGATCCTTGAAAGGCTGTATTAAAATAAAATAAAAATGATAATGGGGTATCATTTTTGTTTTATTTTTCCATAAATCAGTTTCCATTTATAAGCAATATTTGTCATTGTTCTCACCAAGAAAATATCTAGAATGTCTTGAAATTCTAGACTTATGGCAGTTTCCTGAGAGACAGTCCTCAGTAGAGATAACATGTAATGGCTTGCAGAATTCCATTCTGTATAGGAGAAGGCTGTGGGTCTTTTGATGAAAAAACCCTTCCCCATCTGTGTTGCCATTCTGGCTTCTTGTATGGTTTTCTCTGCTCTGATTTGGATAGACAGTCTAGGTAAATGTGATGTTAGGTGGTTTTACTCTTTGACACTTAGTTGGTCGTGTATGTTAGTTAGCATTTGGGTTTCATCTACGTATGTGCGTAGTAATTCATTTCAAGCATGTAAGTTGACAGTTTCTTTTTTCCCAAATGGAGGTAGTATTGCCCTCCCGGTTGGGAGGACTTAACCAGTAGTATCACAGATCTGTGCCACTTACACCATAGCCATGTTCTCCGTAAGATGCAATGAAATCTGAAAACGTCATATAGGAACGCGATTTTAGAGATCATCTAGTGTAACCCTTCCTCTATAGACAACCAAATGAGGCCCAGAAAATACATGATGCAGTGGCTCATAACTGACCTCGGAGTTCTTCATTTATGTTGTATTTTATAGAAATTCGCAGCAGGGAATTTTCCCTGTTCTGGTCTTTCTACTTTTCCTTTAAAAAATTCTTTTCAAAAGTGGTTAGAAGAAGTTTTCAGAATTAATACAGCCTTATGAGTGGCCAGGTTCAAGTCTACTGAGATGATAAGGAATCTTGTGATAAACTTCTGGGTAGAAGTTTGTTTTGTGAACTCACAACCCTTTCTTAATGGTTTTTTTCCCCCTTGGCTATCAGTCTACCCTGAATGTGGTCTTGTTTTTGTTTTTGTTTTTAAATGATCTGAACATACTTCATTACTTAAGAAATGAAGCATGGTTTTGTTATTGTTGTCTCCTAGTCAGTATGTATTGAGAACAGATTTGTGAATCCTTAATACATGAAAGGAAGCTTCAAGTTAATTGGTAAGAAAAGCCATTTATATTTAGGAAGCCCAACAGTAAGACCTTTGTTGATTTCTGTTCTGTTAGAAAGTTGGTTCTGTAGTCTCAGATGCTCACCATTCTGGCCTAAATCTCTTTAGCTGCCTCTTAGGGAAGATTTTAGTTTCAGAAGAATGTTGAGTCATATAAAACATTGGAAAGTCACGAGGGAAGAGAAGATGTGATAGACCAGAAAACTCTTAATACATTTAGAAAATAGAGGTATAAACAAAGAATGTTCAAAAACAGCCTTGTTTTCTCACGTCTCTTGATAAGTGGCAAATTGCGCCAATTGATAAAGTGGCAGATTCCTCTTATTTAGAATAGAAGAAGTCTCATTTAAGAAACTGCTGATTTATTTTTGACATCAGGGTTAATTTTTTTTTTTTTTTTTTTGTCACTTAGGACTGTCTAGTTGAAGAGCCTGTAAGTAGGGGACTAGATTAAGGGCCACACCTTCATGTCCCTTCCCTCATTAGCTCACATGCCGCCGAGTTTGGTGATCTTATTTTGATGTTTCACGAATGAATATCTTCCTATCTAGTAAAGCTTTCTTGGTTTACTTTGACAAGACAGATTGCAAATGTGGGAAGCCAACCTGCCCAGCTGCTTTTCCTAACAGAAGTTGTTATGTTATTGATTGAAGTGCCCCTTGTTCAAATTTACTAAGGCCAAAATGTCACTGAAAAGAAGGGATGATGTACTATGAATGTGTTCTCAGGTATTATTCTTGGTGATGAGGATATGGAAGAGGTGGCAAAGGTTTTTTTTTTTTTTAATCTATTTTTTTGAATTAAAAAAAAACCTGTTTGCTGACAGGTTGTAGAAAAATCACTTTTGCCTATTGATCAAAATCTCTTATCATTATCTTAGTTTTTCTGTCAAATGTTCTAGGTGGAATGTTATTTACTTGGTTTCTTTGAGGCAAGTTTTTGGTGGAAGGAAACTAAGGCCAGTTAAAGATGTTTTATTGATTCACCGGGCCGAGGCAGAGGTCCGTACAAAATGGCTTGTGCTAAAGTGTATTCAGCTTAGTCGCGACCTGAACTACAAAGCTAAATATATGCTCTCCATTGTTTAATTTTCATACACAGTTAAAACTAGCCCTCGAAAGCCTCGCGGGAGACCCAGAAGTGGCTCTGACCGGAATTCGGCTCTCCTCTCAGATCCGTCTGTGTTTTCCCCTCTAAATAAATCGGAGACCAAATCTGGAGATAAGATCAAGAAGAAAGATTCGAAAAGCATAGAAAAGAAGAGAGGAAGACCCCCCACCTTCCCTGGAGTAAAAATCAAAATAACACACGGAAAGGACATTTCAGAGCTACCAAAGGGAAGCAAAGAAGATAGCTTGAAAAAGATTAAACGGACACCTTCTGCTACATTTCAGCAAGCCACAAAGATTAAAAAATTAAGAGCAGGTAAACTCTCTCCTCTCAAGTCTAAGTTTAAGACAGGGAAGCTTCAAATAGGAAGGAAGGGGGTACAGATTGTCCGCCGGCGAGGAAGGCCTCCATCCACAGAAAGGATAAAGACCCCTTCCGGCCTCCTCATTAACTCCGAACTGGAAAAGCCCCAGAAGGTCCGGAAGGACAAGGAAGGAACACCTCCACTCACAAAAGAAGATAAGACAGTAGTCAGACAAAGCCCTCGAAGGATTAAGCCGGTTAGGATTATTCCTTCTTCTAAAAGGACAGATGCGACAATTGCTAAGCAGCTCTTGCAGAGGGCGAAAAAGGGGGCTCAGAAGAAAATCGAGAAAGAAGCGGCCCAGCTGCAAGGCAGAAAGGTGAAGACCCAGGTCAAGAACATTCGGCAGTTCATTATGCCCGTCGTCAGTGCCATCTCCTCGCGCATCATTAAAACCCCTCGGCGGTTCATAGAGGATGAGGATTATGACCCTCCAATTAAAATTGCCCGACTCGAGTCTACCCCGAACAGCAGGTTCAGCGCCACGTCCTGTGGGTCTTCTGAGAAATCCAGCGCGGCTTCTCAGCACTCCTCTCAGATGTCTTCGGACTCCTCCCGATCCAGTAGCCCCAGCGTCGATACCTCCACAGATTCTCAGGCCTCGGAGGAGATCCAGGCGCTTCCTGAAGAGCGGAGCGACACCCCCGAAGTTCACACTCCACTGCCCATTTCCCAGTCCCCAGAAAACGACAGCAGCGACAGGAGAAGCAGAAGGTACTCTGTGTCCGAGAGGAGCTTCGGATCGAGAACAGCAAAGAAACTCTCCACCCTGCAAAGCGCCCCCCAGCAGCAGCCCTCCTCCTCTCCGCCCCCGCCCCTGCTCACCCCGCCGCCGCCGCTGCAGCCGGCCTCCAGCATCTCTGACCACACACCTTGGCTCATGCCTCCCACCATCCCCTTAGCATCACCGTTTTTGCCTGCTTCTGCCGCTCCCATGCAAGGGAAGCGAAAGTCGATTTTGCGAGAACCGACGTTTAGGTGGACTTCTTTAAAGCATTCTAGGTCAGAGCCACAGTACTTTTCCTCAGCAAAGTATGCCAAAGAAGGTCTTATTCGCAAACCCATATTTGATAATTTCCGACCCCCTCCACTGACTCCTGAGGACGTTGGCTTCGCGTCGGGTTTCTCTCCATCTGGTACTGCTGCTTCAGCCCGATTGTTTTCACCGCTCCACTCCGGAACGAGGTTCGATATGCACAAAAGGAGCCCTCTTCTGAGAGCTCCCAGATTTACTCCAAGCGAGGCTCACTCTAGAATATTTGAGTCTGTAACCTTGCCCAGTAATCGGACTTCTGCTGGAACGTCTTCTTCAGGGGTGTCCAACAGAAAAAGGAAAAGGAAAGTCTTTAGTCCCATTCGATCTGAACCAAGATCTCCGTCTCACTCCATGAAGACAAGAAGCGGAAGGCTTAGCACTGCTGAGCTGTCCCCTCTCACCCCGCCGTCTTCTGTCTCTTCCTCGTTAAGCATATCTGTTAGCCCTCTTGCCACTAGTGCCTTAAACCCAACTTTTACTTTTCCTTCTCATTCCCTGACTCCGTCTGGGGAGTCTGCGGAGAAAAGCCAGAGGCCAAGGAAGCAGGCTAGTGCTCCGGCAGAGCCGTTTGCATCCAGCAGCCCCTCTCCTCTCTTCCCTTGGTTCACCCCAGGCTCTCAGACCGAGAGAGGGAGAAATAAAGACAAGGCCCCTGAGGAGCTGTCCAAAGATCGAGACGCTGACAAGAGCGTGGAGAAGGACAAGAGTAGAGAGCGAGACCGGGAGAGAGAAAAAGAGAATAAGCGGGAGTCCAGGAAAGAGAAAAGGAAAAAGGGATCAGAGGTTCAGAGTAGTTCTGCGTTGTATCCTGTGAGTAGGGTTTCCAAAGAGAAGGCTGTTGGTGAGGACGTTGCCACTTCATCTTCCGCCAGAAAAGCAACCGGGCGGAAGAAGTCTTCGTCACTTGATTCTGGGACTGATATGGCCTCTGTGACTCTGGGGGACACAACAGCTGTCAAAACCAAAATACTTCTAAAGAAGGGGAGAGGAAATCTGGAAAAAAACAACCTGGACCTCGGCCCAACTGCCCCATCCCTGGAGAAGGAGAAAACCCTCTGCCTTTCCACTCCTTCATCTAGCACTGTTAAACATTCCACTTCCTCCATAGGCTCCATGTTGGCTCAGGCAGACAAGCTTCCAATGACGGACAAGAGGGTTGCCAGCCTCCTAAAAAAGGCCAAAGCCCAGCTCTGCAAGATTGAGAAGAGTAAGAGTCTTAAACAAACTGACCAGCCCAAAGCACAGGTACTCTTTTCCGTCTTGCCTGTTACAATCAACAGCCCCTTCGATGAGCGAGTTTTAGGCGAAGGGTCTCAGTGACTTCTAGTTCGGGGGTCGGGAGAAGGGCAGAGGAAGGTGGTGGCATTCGCACTGGTCCTTCAAGGGCTGATAGGGTATTGATAGGCAGGAAGTGAGAGGGGAGGACATTCCAGAGGGCACAGTGTAGGTAGAGATGAAAAAGCGTGAAGAGGAACGGCGGCAGATCGCTCGACGAGTGCACGCAGGAAGGTGGTGAATTAAGGCTGAAAGGAAGTTTGGGGCCACATCACAGAGAACGCGGAGTTGTTTGTGCTTAATGGGTTTGGTGTAATGGAATCTGTGACTTAAGTTTGAAGGCGCATTTTTGTAGTCCCATTGTTTTACTGTTGTTTACTATAGAAAACAGGGTTGAGGGGCTTCTCCTCTGAGTAGTGAGTGATTAGAGCAACAGATGATAGGCGTTTGCGGAATACAAATGAGAAGCAGCGCGTAGCCTTAAAACTGTAGGATTCAGTTCGTTACGATGATGATCAACACATTTTACAAAGAACAACATTATTACTGTGTTTTTTTTTTTTTCCCCCACAAAGCGAGCTTAGGCACCTGTCTTTTCTGTGAAAACCCAACGATCTTCAGGTTCTTTTTTAAAATTGTCATGTAGTAGATACATAAGATGCCAACCCACCGTTAGATTTAGATGGCCACACACTTAAGTTTTTCATGTTATTCAGGCGAGGGCCATATTTACATTTAGAAATTTTGCCAGTTGAGGGTCCTGGTGGGAACATTATGGGGTTTCTTTTGGATGCCATGTTGGGTGTTTTTTGGTTAGCCTCCTAGCCATAGGAGCAGCAGCTCTTTAAAATGCGAGACTTTTTTTTAAAAAATGGTTTTATTTATTTCTGAGAGAGAGAGAGACTGCATGAGCAGGGGAGGGTCATAGAGAGAGGGAGACACAGAATCCGAAGCAGGCTCCAGGCTCTGAGCTAGCTGTCAGCACAGAGCCCGATGCGAGGCTCCAACCCACAAACTGTTGAGATCATGACTTGAGCCGAAGCCAGCCGCTTAACTGACTGAGCCGCCCAGATGCCCCTAAAGTATGAGACGTTTCTGTTTAGAGCTGTGTGGCCTTTTCTGCTTACATTTATAAGTTGTTCCCCCTACCTCTCTGTTAATCAGGGAAATAGAAGAAATAGTCTGTGATTCGATAAGCCATTAACTGCAGACCAAACTTTTTGATAATATAGACTGGCAGCTTGAATTTTGATGGGAACTTTAAAGCAGTAGTGTAATTGGGAATAAAAATTTGGTTGATTTGTGTTTTGTTTTTTAAGTGTATTTCTTCATTTTCGAGAGAGCAAGTAAAAGCGTGAGTAGGGGAGGGGCAGAGACAGAGGAGAGAAAGAGACTCCCAAGCAGACTGTGCTGTCAGCTCAGAGCCTGATGCAGGGCTCCATCTTACAAGCTATGAGATTGTGACCTGAGCTGAAATCGAGAGTCGGATGCTTAACCAAATGAGGCACCCAGGCGCCCCTAGTTTCTGTTTTGTTTGTTTGCTTGCTTGCTTGTTTTATTAAAAGCCCTGCTCTCTTTTCGCTGCCAGTTTTAGGATACAGAAGTAGTTGATTTCCGCAGATTGTCATGGCTTATCAGCCGGGAATAACTAGGGTTGTATGTGTTGATTTTAGATTGTAATAAGCGAACCAAGTCTACCCTGGCTTCGCTTAATTACGTTTTCAACATGTGTGGTTGCTCTTGTCTGTTCTGACTTGCCTCTTACTCAGGGTCAAGAAAGTGACTCATCAGAGACCTCTGTGCGAGGACCCCGCATTAAACATGTCTGCAGAAGAGCTGCTGTTGCCCTTGGCCGAAAACGAGCTGTGTTTCCTGATGACATGCCCACCCTGAGTGCCTTACCATGGGAAGAACGAGAAAAGATTTTGTCTTCCATGGGGAATGATGGTAGGTCGGGGATGTCAACCTTGAAGTCAAAGCGGACATTTGATTTGTGTGCTGGTCATCCTGGGGATGCCTAGCAGGCTCTTCATAGCATTGTGTGTTAGTCTGGATCCTCCAAAACACGAAGGGCGAGGGTGCATTAAATGGGTAAGGATTATACTCGAGAAAATGGCCGAGAGAAAAAATGGGGAGTTGGCTGGGGGAGCTATCAGACGGGCTTTGCGAGTCCGATCCTGGTGAAGGAGAAAGGGGAGGAGGGTTGGACAGAATCTTCCCAGACCGTTTTCCCAGAGAGTTTGGCAAGGCTGTGGAGGAGTCCTTGGGCAGAAGTGGACTGTCAGAGTGGTTTTGTGTCTCCCAGGATCAGGCCCACCTTACTGTCCCTGCCATGCTCGGTCACTACCTAGCAGCGACCCCCATGGTAAATGAATGTGGCCTCTGTGGAACACTGGATCTCAGAGCATAGCAGTTGGGGCCCTTGGTCACTTAGTTACAGTCCCCATGGTTGGAGGTCTGAGGTGCATTCTCATGGTTGCATTTAGCTGCTGGGTGACTGCTCAGATAAAATGTAGAGGTTTACAGAATCTTAAGAAGCACTCAATTCATATTTCCGGTTACACGGTGTTTTGTTCTGTGTTCAGATTTCCGCTTTCATCAAGCTGCAAGGTATAGGCGTTTTAAAACAGTTAAAAAATGATCTACGATCGGATATTTGTATTATGACGCATTTCATTTTTGGAGTCCCAGTTAAAATGAGGCTCGAGTGTATATAATGACGTATATGGATTTTGAGGACCTCCCGCCTCTGCCCCCAAGAAGGAACTAGATACTCCCTGAGAACTAATGACCCCTTTCTTCAACAGACAAGTCATCAATTGCTGGCTCAGAAGATGCTGAACCTCTTGCTCCACCCATCAAACCAATTAAACCCGTTACCAGAAACAAGGCGCCTCAGGAACCTCCAGTAAAGAAAGGACGACGGTCCAGGCGGTGTGGGCAGTGTCCCGGCTGCCAGGTGCCTGAGGACTGTGGTGTTTGTACTAATTGCTTAGACAAGCCCAAGTTTGGTGGCCGAAATATAAAGAAGCAGTGCTGCAAGTGAGTGGGGGTCTTACTCTGAGGTGTTGGCCTCTCAGCCAAGAAGGCTGTGTGTTTATGCCTGGTTTGTGGCAGGGATGCAGCAGAAAACTGCCTGTGGTGGTATTGAGTGCCCTTGACGTGAAGGTTATTTGCACAGTTGGATTTTGTGACGTGGCTGGGTTTGGGCAGCCCTTCAGTAAGAAGCAGTCCGGGGCAGTGCCGTCCAGGAGAATGTCCTGCCGTGGTAGGAATAGTTCTCTGCTCAGTTCAGTATGGGGGCCGTTAGCCAAACGTGGCTGTAGAACACTTGAAATGTGGGTTAGTGTAACTGAGGGACTACATATTTAATTGCATTTCATGTCCATTAAATTTAAATAGCCACATGTGCCAAGTGGCTACCGTATCATATCAGTGTAGCTCTGGAGGGCTTCTGCTTAAAAACTGACAAATTTATGGGGCGCCTAGATGGCTCTGTCGGTTAAGCATCCGACTCTTGATCTCAGCTCAGGTCTTGATCTCAGGGTCATGAGTTGAAGCCATGGAGCTTACTTAAAAAAAAAAGAAAGAAAGAAAAACAGTCCCGACAACTGTGTATGTTTATATTTTATATATTGTATAAATTGTATATAGGTCACAAATATATGTAATATTTTCGTATACTTGATCTATCATTTATATTTAAGTATATATTATAATATCTGTATAATTTTTCAGATCAACTGAAATTATCTTTATGGCATTCAGGAAATTGTGGTGATATCTTAGCAAAAGACTCTTGGCTTTCTAACTCCTGGAATTTTCATGCACATGGAATTTTTGATCTGAAAGTTTTGACTTCTTGATCTTTCCCCCTTTTTTTAGTCAGCTTGTGGATGCACTGTCTGCTCTCTGGGATAATTGGTTTGAAGTGAATTGAGAAAGTTGCACAGACAGAAATTTTGGTGACTGAGCATAAGGAGTATAGTGCCCAGCACAAGGAGTAGATGTTAGCAATAGGGATTTGCTGAATGAATGGCAGCATGAAAGTGATTTATAGAAAACATGGTTGGGAGAAAGTACTTCAGGGGACTCAGTGTTGAGGAGACTGGAAGTAGTTCTGCTTTGGTTTAGTCTGGTCTTAAGCAGGAATCTTATCTCAGTCCAGTTAGTAGAAAGAAGGGAGACATTTCACTGATCAGCAGAAAGGTACATGATTCCAAGATAAACCTGCACTATAATTTAGGGGTTGACATGGATTTACTTCAGTTTTAGACCTCAAATTAAGTTTCAGTTTCATTCAGTTGAAGGGTGAAATATATACAAAGCCCTGAGATAGACCTATAGCATTGTAGTGACAGCCAGAGAACTTGGTTAATTTCGGTCCATTTTTATTTCGATTACTGTATGACTATTAACCTCCTAAGGGAGCAGAACCGATTTGACCGCAAGAAACATCAGCTGATCATTTTGTACGTGGTGCTGGTCAGTCCTAGGTTATAAGAAATTTGAGTCCATTTCAAAAATAATTTGACATTTGCTCCTTTTAGAGCCTAAAGATAGATAAAATTGCTGGTCGAAGGATTCAGAGGCTCAGATTGAATCTGAGTAATCAACAGTACTTTTTTTCAACCCTCAAAATGAACCTGAATAAAGGTTCGCTGATTCTTGCCGGCAAATTAACACTTGTTTCCATTGCTTTTCTTCTAAATGTCGTTTACTTTATGATATCCCTTGTCATCCTAGGATGAGAAAATGTCAGAATCTACAATGGATGCCTTCCAAAGCCTACCTTCAGAAGCAAGCAAAAGGTAGTATCGTAGAAAGATCTTTACAGATGCTTCTTGCTTTAACGAATAAGATTGTGTCACGTTCCTCTACTTCTGTCTTAAATAAAGTTTTTCTCACTTACACTCTTGTTTCTCTCCCCCAGCTGTGAAAAAGAAAGAGAAAAAGTCTAAGACCAGTGAGAAGAAAGAGAGCAAAGAGAGCAGTGTTGTGAAAAGTGTGGTGGACTCCAGTCCGAAGCCTACCCCAGCGGCAAGAGAGGAGCCTGCCCCCAAGAAAAGCAATAGCGAACCTGCCCCTCGAAAGCCCGTCGAGGAAAAGAGCGAAGAAGGGACCGCCTCTGCCCCAGGACCCGAATCCAAACAAGTCGCCACCCCGGCTTCCAGGAAGTCCGGCAAGCAGGTTTCCCAGCCACCTCCAGCCACCCCCCCACAGCCACCAAGCACAGCACCGCCAAGAAAAGAAGTTCCCAAGTCCACTCCTAGCGAGCCCAAGAAAAAGCAGCCTCCGCCACCAGAACCAGGTGAGTGAGGAGGGCGAGAAGGAGCAGCGGAACCAGAAGTACCGGCAGAGAACTCTGAGGTCTTTCTTAAACAGCATGTGGAAACCTGACGTGTATATTTTTAAGCCTTTAATTCAAAAAAGTTAGCTCGCTTTTAACCTATTTACAGAACAACAGAGAAAGAGAAGCACAAAAACCCAGTTAAGTTGGAGGCATTGTCTTAATTTCCTAGGTAGAGCCCAGGGTTTAAATAGCTTTGTGGGTGTGCTAACGGCCCTCTGCTCTCGGGCCAGAAGGTCCTCAAGTGGTCATTGCCAGTTAGCACTGACTGTAACTTATTTTGAATTCTTCAGGTCCAGAGCAAAGCAAGCAGAAAAAAGTGGCTCCTCGACCAAGTATTCCTGTAAAACAAAAACCAAAAGAAAAGGTGAGGAGAGATTTGTTTCTCTGCCATTGCTCGGGGATGCATCCATCCTGTAAGGCAATAGTCTTAGCCTCGGCATTTACGTGATTGCGTGAATGAGGCCGCGTATCTGCGTCTGTGTAGATGGCGGTGAACTTTCTTAAAATTAACAAACTTCAGGTTTAGGCTTTCACTCATTTTGTGTTTTGTCTCTTTCCCCTTGTTCCTTTCCCCTTCTTTGTGGTCCTCTATGCTTAGGCTTATGCCGCAGGCCACTTAGGGTGATTGTTTTGGCCTTCAGCATCCTTTAGTGACATTTGTCTGTAACTATCACCCTTCCCTGTGTCCACACTATTTTTATTATATGGAGAGAGACAGGTCTTCAAGAATCTTCTGGCTCTTTCTGCTGTCTTTCTGTGCCACCATAATGGTCTGTGCGAACATCCTGGCTGATACTCTTCAAGAGTATCCACAGTGCTAATGAGGGGCAGACGCCAGGGTCTTAGGAAGCCTTACTCCAAAGTCATTGTCTGGCCTCTGACCGTGGTGATGAAGCATGGTCACACTGACGAATTGAAATCATTGCTGATCACAGAGCTGAGAACACTACTGTGAGCATCCCAGGCAGGTTAAACAGGAGTGGAGCGATCGGCTCCACATTTGATGTGCAACTCAAAGATCTAGAAAAATGGCAGAAGTAACCTGCTCCCATGCTGTCACTTCGGTTTCACTGTGCCAACAACCTCGGCCGGCGTCATGGGCCACAAAAGAAGCAAGACAGGAACCCACAGGAGGGAGAGTCCTGGAATTCTTCTACGGTTGTCATGCACACGTAAAATGCCTCGGTGGAGAAAAGGACCTGAAGTCTGACTCTCTGTGTCTGTAGGGTAGTTCTGTGGAAACGTGTTTTCCATATCTATTAGTGAGACTTGTCGTTTGCATTAGTATCTGTTACCAAAGCAAAGGCAAGTAGGGTGTGGTTTTGTTCTTCATCTTCTATCTCTGTAGGAAAAGCCACCTCCAGTCAGTAAGCAGGAGAACACAGGCACTTTGAACATCCTCAGCACTCTCTCCAATGGCAATAGTTCGAAGCAAAAAGTCCCAGCAGATGGAGTCCACAGGATCAGAGTGGACTTTAAGGTAAAGGTGTTTCGTGACCCTGTAGTGTATCAAGTATCGTGGACTTTAAACCAGAAAAATGATGTTAACCAGGGGCGTCTGGGTGGCTCAGTCGACTCCGGCTCAGGTCGTGATCTGAGTTCGCAGGTTTGGGCCCCGCATCCGGCTCTGCGCTGATAGCCTGGAGCCTGCTTTGGATTCTGTGTCTCCCTCTTTCTCTGCCCCTCCCCTGCCTGCTCTCTGTCTCTCAAAATAAAATAAAGATATAAAAAAATGAATAAACATTTAAAAAAAAATGATGTTAGCCAAAGATACTGAAAGAAAGGCAACTCAGCACCAAGCCAGGGAGTCAGAACTTCCATCCGCAGGTGGGTTCAGGGGTGAGAGCACTTTGGGCAGTGTTGTGAGGTCCCTATTTGTGAGCTGACTAAAGAACACAGGCACTGATGCACTGTACTCTGGACCATTCTGAGCAGTGAAAGTACAGTTGGATGAGAACAGTGTCTGAGGGAATGATTCTTTCACATCGGACTTCTTGAACCACGAGGATGACTTGAATCAGCCAAACTTTAAGGAAAAGTCAATCCCAGTGTATCTTCTAACAGTTTGTGTCTGAGATTATAATTTCGTAAAGCAGCAGTTCTTTTTGAACTGGCTGAAGTGAAGTAATCTGGACACTGCTGTCACTCTGACCCTAGGCTTTCCATCCTTACTTTCATTCCAAAGCTGTGTCATTGTAACACTGTCATAAATGACCTGTCTCTCTCTCTCTCTCTCTCTCTTTCTCTCTACAGGAGGATTGTGAAGCAGAAAATGTGTGGGAGATGGGAGGCTTAGGAATCCTGACCTCTGTTCCTATAACACCCAGAGTGGTATGCTTTCTCTGTGCCAGTAGTGGGCATGTAGAGGTAAGAAATCCTGCTTCTTGGTACCCCAGAACATTGAGTGATAGATTATTTTGCTGTCATGAAAGAAATACTCTCTTCTCTTTTGTTGATGTTTACCAGGTGCTACCCCCTCTTTATTTTTTATTTAATTTTTAAAGTAATCTCTATGCCCCACATGGGGCTCAAACTCACAACCCCGAGATCAAGAGTCGCATGTTCCCTGAAGGAGGCCTTCAGGTGCCCCTAGTATCTCCTCTTGAAACCAGCCCTGAAATATTTTTGAAGTTTTTAAAGAGATTTCCTGAAGGAATCTGCTTCTTAGTAGAGCAGCAGAATTATTGAGTGTGAAAAGTTTAATGATCTCATCTCTTAAATTCACTCTTAATAGAGTTCTGATATTTCTGCTAGATGTCCAGACTTAGAAAAAATGTTACAGTGCTCTTTCAGAGAAAGAGATGGCTATCTTATATTGAATATCAAAAACCCCTTGTCTATAAGGGGTTATAGCCCCTTTTTAATTAATTGTCTTAGCAATTAATTTAAAAAAGGAACAACACCCAGTAAAAAAAATAGGCTAAAGACAGAACTATGTAAATCACACAATGAGAAGTTAAACATGGTGGGAGGTGTCGTAGAGCCTTCTGATGGCCAAAAACTAGACATTAAGCATTAAAAAGATCACGTGCAAAGGGGCACCTGCTTGTCTCAGTTGGTGGAGCATGCAACTCTTGATCTTGGGGTTGTGAGTTCCGGCCCCGCATTGGGTGTAGAGATTACTTAAAAAACAAAATCTTTAAAAAAATCATGTCGGGGGGGCGGGGGGGAGATCATTTGGAAATAGGGACTTCTGGTTGGTGGAAATCTAAATGTTACAATCTTTCTTTCTGAGCAGATTGTTGAGAAATACGTATTTATCGGCAGATTGTTAAGAAATACGTATTAATTGTTAAAATGAGCATATTGTCTAACCCAGTGATTGTACTGGAGGCATTTATCTTACAGCTGTAATTAGATCAGATAGGTGTATGCATATGTATGTGTATACATATGTGTGTGTACAATACATACATACACAATAAACCCTTCTGTCTATAAATAATAAATAGAAGAGTTTATTTTAGTACTCTTTATGGTAATCAAAAATAGGAAACAGCCAAAAGTTTGTCAGTTGGGGGCGGGGCTTGGTTAAAATAATTATAAGGCATGCATATAAGGGCAAATATGAAGTCCTACCTAATACTGTAGATTGATATTGACACGGAAAGGTGTCCATGTCACATCACTGAGTTAAAATAGGTTGCAGAGTAGGATGTAAAGCATGATCCTTTGGTTTGGACATTGTTTTAAAAATATATATACAGAAAGAGTTATGGAAAGATTTACACCAAAATCTTAAAAGTGTGGTTGGATTATGGTTGGCTTGTTTTCCCTTGATTTTTCTTTATCCTTTTTAGTCTTTTGCAGTGAGTATTTGCCACTTTTACAGTAAGAAGGAAAAAAAAGCACAATTTAAATAGTAAGCAGAGTTTGTCATTCATGCAATTCTCAATTCTAGGATACCTCCTTAGCTTATTATTTTATCACATATGTATTTTAACATCGTAACGAAATTCTAAAGCCAGATTGTGATGTGGATACTGAGCAATCAGTGAAACTCACTAGCTAAGAGATTCAGTCCTGCCCACTTGCTATGTTAAATTATACATTAGCAGAATTACACATTATTGTCTGGTGTTCATTCATTAAGCTAATCTATCAGTGCCTATTATGAGCTATAATATTGTTCTAAGTGGTGGGGCTGCTTTAGATACCATTAAGATTAAGAATATTCAGTCTAGAGGTGACTGGGTGGCTCAGTCAGTTAAGGAGTCCAACTTCAGCTCAGGTCATGATCTCACAGCTCATGGGTTCAAGCCCTGTGCTGACAACTTAGAGCCTGGAGCCTTCTTCATATTCTGTGTCTCCATTTCTGCCCTTCCCATGCTCACGCTCTGTCTCTTTCTCTCTCAAAAATAAATAAACATTAAAAAATTTTTTTAAATATTCAGTCTATAATTGCTTCTCAGCCTTTTGGCTAAGATTAAGTGAATAATATTTCGTCTATAGTCTCAAGGGTCCACTGCATGTCTTGTACATAATCTTTATGCTTTGCATCTATACATATGCTACCCACATGAATAACTTGTAGCACCAGTCCTTCAGCTTCTGTGATAAAGCAATTTTCTTCAGACTGTAATTGCTTTAATTTAAATTGTGTGGTTGTACACAGCAATCTCACAGGATTCCTAAAAACTGAATTAGAGAATGAATAGCCCACTGCCTGCATTTATTTTGAGATAGAGACCCAGCAGGGGAGGGGCAGAGAAAGAGAATCCAAAGCAGGCTCTGTGCCGCCAGCATAGAGCTTAACATGGGGCTCGAACTCACCAACTGTGAGATCATGACCTACGCCAAAACCAAGAGTTGGAAACTTAACCAACTGAGCCACCCAGGCACTCCTCAAATGTTAATATATTTATTTGCTTTATCCTTTTCTCTTAGTGTGTCCGTGTTTTACAAAGCGAGAAATAAAATATGTGTACACATTTTATATGTAGACACATTTTTTCCTAAAACTTTGAGAGTAAGTTGCAGACGTGTCCTTTTATGTCTAAGTATTTTGGTGTGTATTTCCTAAAACCAAGGACATTCTCGTATAATCACAGTATAGTTATCAAAATCAGGAAATTGACACTGGTATATTACTATTATCTAATTTTTAGACCTTTTTTAGGTGTGACCAGTTGCCCCAATAATTGTTATACCAAAATAAAATTCTTCTTTTACAGTTTGTTTATTTAGAGGGGGGTTGGAGCACAAGCGGGGGAGGGGCAAAGAACGAGGGAGAGGGAATCCCAAGAAGGCTCCACACTGTCAGCATGGAGCCTGATGTGAGGCTTGAACTCATGAGTGGTGAGATCATGACCTGAGCCAAAGTCAAGAGTGGGATGGTGCCACACAGGTGCCCCAGCAAAATAAGATTCTTAATTCAAAATTTTTAAAAATGCCTATGTGAAAATAACATTTCTACAATTAGAGATGGAAAGAATAAACCAGAGCTTACAAACTGTCTTTAGTATATTGTAGGAAACCTTTAAAACCCTCCCAGGGCCCCTGGGGGGCTCAGTCAGTTAAGCGTCTGACTCTTGGTTTCAACTCATGGGTTCGAGTTCTGGTTGATGGGTTCGAGCCCTGTGTCGGGCTCTGCACCGACAGCACAGATCCTGCTTGGAATTCTCTCTCTTTCTGCCTCTCCCCTGCAAACACACCAAACCTCCCTATTTCCCCCTTCCCATAGCTCTCGTAGCCCACTTATGGCACTTAGCACATTCTGTTAAATCTGGGAATATATTTATTATATATCATATATATGTATAATTACTTAAATTTTTAAAAATATTGATTTATTTTTGAGACAGAGCGTGAGTGGGGGAGAGGCAGAGAGAAAGGAAGACAGGAAGACACAGAATCTGAAGCAGGCTCCAGGCACAGACCATGAGATCATGACCCGAGCTGAAGTCAGACGCTTAACTGACCGAGCCACCCAGGCGCCTCTATATAGTTACTTTTTTATTTCTATCGTTATTACTTTACTCCCCTGAATCTCCTGCAGTGCCTAATATTGGGCTTTTTTTTTACATAGTCATTGCTTAATGATTATATGTTGAATAAAACGTATTGGGTTCCTGTAGCCTGAAGCATATAGATAAGATTTGGTTGATGTTGCTACATGTTATTTGACAACTTCTGCGTTCCTATCTACCCTAGTTTGTGTATTGCCAAGTCTGTTGCGAGCCTTTCCACAAGTTTTGTTTAGAGGAGAACGAGCGCCCTCTGGAGGACCAGCTGGAAAATTGGTGTTGTCGTCGCTGCAAATTCTGTCATGTCTGCGGAAGGCAGCACCAGGCTACAAAGGTATAAAACTAAGTGATAGAACTCCTTAGAGTATTACCCCCTCTCTCCGTTTCTGCCTTGTGTTTTTGGGTTTTGTGCCTATGTTTTTTATTCCTTGGCTTAGCCTATTGTGACTGTTTAGCTAGGTATACTTCATTGCCTATTTTTGTGTTTTAATTTTGGGACTGTAGGAGAAAACATGTCATTAGATAAAATCCCCCCAAATAAATCAAATCTACCCAATAAGGACATTCATCACCGAGGACCTTTGCAGGACCTAAATCCCCATGCTTTCACTGTGAATAAATAATTGGTGAGAAAACTTAAAATATGAAAGGGACACTGAGTCATAGATGTCTGAAGTGAGTTGGCGTGATACCTACCTTTTTGCCTTTAAATTTTCTTTTTTATTAAAGTATAGTTGACGTACAATATGTTAGTTTTTGAAGTACAACTTAGTGCTTCAGCACTTCCGTGCATCACACAGCGCCCACCACGAGAAGTGTCATCACCGTCTGCCACCACATGAAGCCGCTACAATCCTAGTGACTACATTCTCTATGCTGCACTTTCCGTCTCTGTGACTTACTCACTTTATACCTGGAGGTTGGTAGCGCTTCATCCTCTGCCTTTGTATATTTCCTACAGCAGCTGCTGGAGTGTAATAAGTGCCGAAACAGCTATCACCCTGAGTGCCTGGGACCAAACTACCCCACCAAACCCACAAAGAAAAAGAAAGTTTGGGTGAGTGCACACATCATGCTGTTGCAGAGACAAGAAGCGGCATGGAGCCCAGGGCTTGCGCACCTTATAACAGGGAGAGCCTTGCTCGAGGATGTTATTGTAATGGTGTTTTGGTCTCGTTATTAGGGAAAGCCATCCCAGGGAAGAAGCCCACTCTAGAAATCGGTTGCATCCGAGATCTTTTTAAATGAGATGAGGGATGCCTGGGTGGCTCAGTTGATTAAGCGTCCGACTTCGGCTCAGGTCATGATCTCACGGTTCGTGGGTTCGAGCCCCGTGTCGGGCTCTGTGCTGACAGTCGGCTCAGAGCCTGGAGCCTGTCTTCGGATTCTGTGTCTCCCTCTTTCTCTGACCCTCCCCTGCTCACGCTGTCTCTACCTCTCTCTCAAAAATAAATAAAACATTTTAAAAAAATAAAATAAAATAAAATAAATGAGATGGGATACTGAAAATAAGAAACTCCTGTGGACTTTTCTTTTTCAGATCTGCACCAAGTGTGTTCGCTGCAAGAGCTGTGGATCCACAACGCCAGGCAAAGGGTGGGACGCACAGTGGTCTCACGATTTTTCACTGTGCCATGACTGTGCCAAACTCTTTGCTAAAGGTACTTCCAGAAACCCAGTTTGGTCACCTTTTAGGGGTTGTGTTTGGTGTTCTGGAGGTGGACCAGACACTCCGGGGAAGTGAGGTAGAAAGCTTTGCACGTCTTGTCAAGGGTACCATCTAGGCCATTTCCTAAGTTCCTCGTCTTGCTCTTTTCTTTACACAGAGTATTACAGCAACTAGAAATATTTTGTTAGCTTATATGGGAAGGATTAAGGGGACTATTTGTAATGACGAACCACAAAGAAATGCTCTAAAAGCCAGTATTTCCCAAAATGAGGTACATAGACATTTAATTGTTTCTGAAGTGACTTTAGGTGGTATTGAGTCACACATTTCATTTTCATGGTTATGCTAGAAAAAAATTACAACTAATACCTTAAACTCATTATTGATTTAGGATAATGATACGAAGTTTACTGTTGAAGTTATCTAATATAAGCAAATCAGTGTTAAGTCTATCAAGAATAATAGAGTATATTATGGATAAGACAAATGGATGGAGGTTGTAAGTCGTGCTGAGCCTGCGGAAGTGCTGTGCTAAGCTCTAACTTAAAGCACTAGGAATAAGGAGAATGTGCAAATTAACTGTGTTTTTTTTACACCGTGGCCTCCCCTCATTTTAAAAATATAGACATTTCTTTGGTAAAAGGCGAAAGACTTATACGATCTGAAGAGAAACCAGAGTATATATAGACATTTCTTTGGAATGTTTAAGAGCAAAAATTCTCTTTCATTCTTTTTTTTATTACGGCATCTGTAGACGCTACCCCACAACCTTTATTTTTATTTATTTATTTATTTTTTAAAATATTTTTATTTATTTCTAGGAGAGAGAGAGACAGCGTGAGCAGGAGAGGGTCAGAGAGAGAGGGAGATACAGACTCTGAAATAGGCTCCAGGCTCTGAGCTGGCAGTCAGCACAGAGCCCGACGCGGGGCTCGAACCCACGAACCGCAAGATCATGACCTAAGCGAAAGTCGGACGCTTAACCGACTACGCCACCCAGGCGCCCCCCCACGACCTTTAAAAATGAGTCTAAATAAGGGTAGCTGGCTGGCTCAGTCTGTAGAGCATGTGACTTTCGATCTCAGGGTCGTGAGTTCAAGCTCCACGTTGGGTGTGGAGCCTACTTGAAAAAAAAAACAAAAACGAGAAAAGGAGTCTAAATAGAATTAGTGGTATGTTCTAAGAACTCAGAATAATCTTGATGCTGCATAGACGTGTGAGCATCCCCTGGTAGATCTGCCCCGGGGTTGGTAAGGAGTCCTGGAAGAAAGCTGGCTCATAGACTCAACTTTGAGCCAGCTGATAGCCCAGGCGTCAGAGGTGCCGGCGCGGGGCCCAGAGCCCTGCTGAATTGCGTGCTTTGCTCACAGGGAACTTCTGCCCTCTGTGTGACAAGTGCTATGACGATGATGACTACGAGAGCAAGATGATGCAGTGTGGGAAGTGCGACCGCTGGGTCCACTCCAAATGTGAGAATCTTTCAGGTACAGAAGGTTGGAGTCTTTTTTTTTTATTACAGTTTTCTTCTCTCTTGGTACATTTACAGCCCCCAGAGTAATCTGTAAACCTACCATTACGGCCATGCTGTCACTTGGAGTCTTTGTAAATTTCCCTTCTTGGTCTCTAGAATAACTTAAATAACTTTGGTTTCTAGAACAACTTAACACCATCGTGTCAGGTTGGGCTCATTTTATCGGGAACGTAAACATTTACGATAATTATTTGCGAGCTTGGGGCAGGCACCCTAACCAATCGATCCTCTGGTAACCAAATCCCGGGTTAGTGTTACTAGCGTCCCTTTGGAGATCAGTAGTGGGGATCGATTCCTAGGGAATATTGGTCTTGCTAATGTTCCTAACCTGCAACTTTATGTTAAAGTCAGCGGAGTGATGTCCTCTTCGCCCTGTCTGCCTCCCTTCAGAGCACCTCAGCATCGTAGGTTTTTGTTTTTCCAGATGAGATGTATGAGATTCTGTCTAATCTGCCGGAAAGCGTGGCCTACACCTGTGTAAACTGTACCGAGCGGCACCCTGCGGAGTGGCGACTGGCCCTTGAAAAAGAGCTACAGATCTCTCTGAAGCAAGTCCTCACGGCTTTGCTGAACTCTCGGACCACCAGCCACCTGCTCCGCTACCGACAGGTAGGCCCGCGTCTCGTTTCGTTTCCCAAGAGTCTGTTCTGAGATGGGTTTCCTCTGGTGATGGAAGGTTTGCTTGCTCTAATTTTCTTTTGCATCATTCTTCATTTAGTTTTGTAGACTCACTTTTTTGGCTTCCAGCCATTAAGAAAATCTTTAGGGCCGGGGTGCCTGGCTGGCTGTTGGTTAAGCGTCTGACTTCAGCTCAGGTCGTGATCTGGTTTAAGCCCCGTGTCAGACTGCGCTGACAGCTCAGAGCCTAGAACTTATTTTGGATTCTATGTCTCCCTCCCTCTCTCTCTCTCTCTCTCTCTCTGCCCCTTGCCATTCATGCTCTCTCTCTCTTTCTCTCAAAAATGAGTAAGTATTAGATAAAAACTTTTTCTTAAATAAAGAAAATCTTTAGATCCCAGAGTAGGACCTAGTCTGGGGAACTTCTTTGGTGTTATGATGAGAAATTTGGACTTTCTACTCTGAAGGACCTGGGAAGGACCAGTGAAGAGCATCACTCAAGAGTCACCTGATCAGAGTTGCTTTTTTAGAGGAAAAACGATTCTGAGTAGAAGAGGGAGGAAGGATTGGCGAGGACTGAGGCTAGAAGCAGGGATAGTGGTTGGGAGGCAGTTAGATCAATCTGGGGAAGAGAGAGATTGAGGGCCTGATCTAAGATGATAGTCGTATGGCTAGAGACCCTTCCCTCTGGGAAATCCATAAGGCTCCTCAGGGCACAACTTGTAAATCACTACTTTTTATCTGTTTAAGTTGTGAACTATATACATCTACAGAGTAGTCATTAGAAACACAAGGTCAAATGCTGGAGGAACCACACAGGATAGCTTGAACTCAGAGGTAGGCTGCTGCTTTATCTCTTGATAGAGCTCCACATTTTGGGAAAAAAATTGGTTTAATGTTTATTTGTTTTTGAGATAGAGACAGACCATGAGTGGGAGAGGGGCAGAGAGACACACACAGAATCTGAAACAGGCTCCAGGCTCTGAGCTGTCAGCACAGAGCCCGACGCAGGGCTCAAACCCATGAACTGTGAGATCATGACCTGAGCCAAAGTCAGACGCTTAACCAACTGAGCCACCCAGGCGCCCCAGTAGAGCTCCACATTTGGTTAGGAACATTTGCTATCTCTGTGTCCCTCAGAAGGATCTGGACAGTTTCTGTGTTTTCATACTAGGCTCGAAGCTTCTAAGTCCACCTGGTCAAACTCTTAGAGAACTGGCTCATTCTAATTCCCTTTCCTGTTATTTAAGAACTCTCTGATTGTTCTCACGTTCTTTAGTTTTAATAATGTGAGTCCTTCAGTGCTGTCTTTATTCGTGTTAATAGAATTTGCACGGATGCCTCGTTTTCAGTGTCAGATAAAAGAAACCTCTCTTTCCTGGCAACAGGCTGCCAAGCCTCCAGATTTAAATCCCGAGACGGAGGAGAGCATACCTTCCCGCAGCTCCCCGGAAGGGCCTGACCCGCCAGTGCTTACCGAGGTCAGCAAACAGGAAGAGCAGCAGCCTTTAGACCTGGAAGGGGTAAAGAGGAAAATGGACCAAGGGAATTACACATCCGTGGTATGTCTCTCCAGCAAACCACTGACATTGCAAGTGCCATTTTAGCTTCCTTGGGTCTTTGGGGGATGAGGCTTGGGAGTAAGCATTAAAGGATGGCTTGTATTATATTTAGAAATGTCGTGTGGATTTAAATACCTGAAAATATGTGAGTTCTTGTAGCTCTGTGTTTCAGAAGATGGGAAGGTGGTGTCTCACTCTGGTTCTTTGATTTGGCTTTCCTCCGAGTCCTCTGAAAATTATTTTTTCGTTAACGTTATTTGTATATTAAAACCGTTTGTGGGAAAATGCAAACTAACGTGAATTTACTTGGTTGGCCCCTTTTGAAACCACATCTAAGTGACATCTTTCTGTGTAGGATCTTCATTTATAGATAGATGTCTTTTAAATATATGGTTTTAAGAATGTCTGGGAATGGTGTCTCATGGTCCATATTTGCTGTTCAGTTGTTTTATTCATTTTAATCTGAATAAAAAATCATGGCCCTATTTGGGTAACTTACCATGATAACAGCTGATCTGTTTGCATACTTGCTGTACTAGTCTGGCTTCTCTTGACAAGTTAACTGAGAACTGAATTCGAAAAGCCTCCGCTAAAGACAAATGACACTGCAATAAAGTAGGGTGTCCATTTTCTGTTGGACTTCTGTGCTGGGTGATTTGGGAGGGAAGAGGAAGTGGTTTTGAGAGCACACAATTAATACTTTGTTTTTGTTTACAGTTGGAGTTCAGCGATGATATCGTGAAGATCATTCAGGCAGCCATTAATTCAGATGGAGGGCAGCCAGAGATCAAAAAAGCCAACAGCATGGTCAAGTCCTTCTTTATTCGGGTGAATGATATTAATAGTTCATGTTTTTAATGCGCAACTATGGGTAATTACTCTATGAGCAAAACGGAGTTGTTCTCTTCTCCCGTTTTGTTTTGCCACGTGTGTAAAACATCATTTGGTTTAATTAATTCCTCTGATTCTTTGGGAGGAAGTTGGTAAGGTTGCAGAGTGGATGGACCTTTCTCCTGGTGGCCTGAAATCATTCTCCTCTTGACAGGGAAACTGCTGTGAAGTTGTTGGTTTTTATGTGGTTTCCAAGTGGCTGCTCACATGCTTACATTTTGTTTGTTTATTTTTCTGTTAGCAAATGGAACGTGTTTTTCCATGGTTCAGTGTCAAAAAGTCTAGGTTTTGGGAGCCAAATAAAGTATCAAGCAAGTAAGTAAATTTGATATTCTTTTTTTTCCCCTCCTCATCAGCTAGAAATCTGAGAGCTCTTCTATTTCTAGATTAAGGTTTCTTTAGACTAGGTCTTAATATTAACAGTCACTTGAAAGGCCTTTTCAGTGCTGAGTTAGAGAGAATACTTTATGTTTATCATAGTCTGTTGCCCATTTTTTTCTTTCTTTATATGTTACGTTTTCCAGAATTTGGCTTAACTTGTGGCGTATGTACAACACAGGTGCTATGTATGTAGCTCAGTATTTGGACTTGTGCTAATCGGGTTCTGTTTTATTTGGTTCAAATGGTGCTCTTCTTCATATTTAACCTAAAATTTTTATTCTACCCAATCCTTTTGATTCTTTGATAAAGTTATCATTTGTTTCCGGAAGTTTCACCAAGAGTCCTGTATCGAGAATATTTGTCTTTAAATTATAAAGTCCTGTATATGTAGGCAGCTTTCACAGTCTGTGGCTTGTTCTTCTATTCTGTGAATGGCTCGTGCATGGGGCTGTACCCTGATGATGCCAAGAATGTGATAATTTTGTGTAGTTCTAGGTATGTCATAGGAGGTCAATAAATACTTGTCGAATCAATTATTTTCAGCAGTGGGATGTTACCAAACGCAGTGCTTCCTCCTTCACTTGACCATAATTATGCTCAGTGGCAGGAGCGAGAGGAAAACAGCCACACTGAGCAGCCTCCTTTAATGAAGAAAATCATCCCAGCTCCCAAACCTAAAGGGCCTGGAGAACCAGAGTCTCCAACACCACTCCATCCGCCTACACCACCAGCTCTGAGTAAGGCACCGAATGAGTCATTATCCATCTCTCTCTAGATGCAGATGATCAACTTCATGAATCTAAATTTAATAGACTTGCATATTGGAAAGAAGTTTCAGGGTCAACCTTACATGTAGTAAAAGCATTATTTTCACTTAGCTTGGACTGGTAACAGGAAATCAATAGAATGTAACTTTGAACACTTCTTGAAAGTGTTTATTTTATAAGCTACAGGCTATGTAAGCCAAAGTGGGTTTTTTCATTTTCCTTCCTGGAAATCGGACATAGTATTGCCAATTATAACTGGTTGTCTTTTGGGTTCTAAGGTACTGATAGGAGTCGAGAAGACAGTCCAGAACTGAATCCACCCCCAGGCATCGAGGATAATAGACAGTGTGCGTTGTGTTTGATGTATGGCGATGACAGTGCTAATGTAAGTACCTTGGCGTAGGGGGTCCTGCTTAGCAGACACTCACATGAACTGTTTGTCCTTCATGTCTAAATTTGATGACTGGGTGCCATTTATTTAATGGAGGTTTGTCACCTGGCCTGTGGCACTTGGGGTTTTTTCTTTTCTTTCATTTAAAAGATGATTTGCCTTCAGTTAACCTGCTGATGTCAGTAACTTCTAAAGGAAATTCCTCAAAAAGATTTTATGAAAGTCAATAAAATATGTAAGTTGCATATTAAAGGCTTGTGTTTAACGTCAGATAGCAGAGTGGTGAAGAGCCCCAGTTCTGACCGGCTGCCTGGATCCATTGCTCTGCTCTGCTGCCTACTTGTTGACCTTGGTGGGGAGCGTAACCCTCCGGCTCTGTTTCATCTTTAAAACGAGGATAACAATAATACGTAACCACTGCAGCCTATAAGGATTAGAGGAAATGATGTTTATAAAGCTGTATTTAGTGCCGGCACATAGTAAGCTTACAATAAAAAAAATTTTTTTTAATACACGCTAAGAGAACTGGCTTGGAAATATGGTTTTCAAGAAGTCAGTGCACACTTTCATAAACTTAACCATATACTGTGTGTGTTTTTATTCCCTATGTTTATAAAATATATTTAGTCTATAGAGGAGGTAATCTAGAAAGGTGAGAAGTAGAAACGTTGAAAAATGACTTTTGATCTTTGCATCCCCATGTTAAAGAATTAATTGTTGATGCTACCTTGACTGAGATAAAGCTAATACCAAGGAAAATCTTTGAAATTATATTCTTTAAAGAAAAAAGAAATCTCTTGATTTCATAGGATGCTGGCCGTTTGCTATACATTGGCCAAAATGAGTGGACACATGTAAATTGCGCTTTGTGGTCAGCAGAAGTGTTTGAAGACGATGACGGATCACTAAAGAATGTGCACATGGCTGTGATCAGGGGCAAGCAGCTGGTAAGACCTTGTGTAAATGGTACAGAAAAGATTCCCTCTCCGTTTCCAGATGTTTTACTCTTGGCTAAATGCTACCTCACTAATGTTTCTTGTAGCACCTTCAGAATGATTAGCCAGCAACAAAAACCGGTGTGTAACTATAGGCAGATTGCTATTCTGACCCCTGGGGGATGGTGCAAAAGAAATAGAAAGCAAAGTATTATCTAGTTTGGGAGATATTTATGCAAGAACGCTGTTCATTTATTAAGCTGTTTAGACAAAACGACTCAAAGATCCCAGTTGAATCAACATGCTGTGGTTCCACAGGATGAACCCACATGGATACACACGCGAAGAGGGATGTGGAAAATGATCAGTAGAAGCCGAGAGTAGTCAGAAAAGGCCATGAAGGAGTACAGTTTTTAAAAGCTTTATATAGAAGGAGGGAAGAAGATGAAGGATTATCAGAAAGAAAGAAAGAGAGAGAGAGAGACAAGCAAACAAAAGGCGCGTGCAAAGAAACGTGGATTGTGTGGAAGGACAAACCAAAAAGCCTTCTGTGGGGAGGAGCCCAGGCTATGATTGACAGATTAAGGTGCTGACACATAGAGGCTAGTTGAAGAGAATCTTTGAATCATACGATAAATTTAATCTGTTAATAAGCCTAGTAACTGAAAGAACCCTTGTGTTTTGGACTGGTACACTCTTTCTAGAACTGAGATGTTTTTAGTATCGATCTTCGAAATTTTATCTTCTCTAAGTCGTGCGTCCTAGGGGAAAAAAACTATGGTTTAAGTACTAAATCAGATTGTAATATTTAAGTTTAATAGTTCTAGGGCCCCAGGGGCAGTGGGAAAGAGAGGATTTGTAGAGGAGGAGCTATGGCTCATACCATTTCTCTATAATTAGATCACCAGTAAAAAAAAAAAAAAAAAAAAAGGGAATTGTAGGAAACCCAGAATGGGGTAACTCTTTAGAGGAGATGGAAAGTGGCTTAAAACATCTGAAAGTCTGACTTGGGCCTCTGTTTTCTCTGGATGGTTAGAGATGTGAATTCTGCCAAAAGCCAGGAGCCACTGTGGGTTGCTGCCTTACCTCCTGCACCAGCAACTATCACTTCATGTGTTCTCGCGCCAAGAACTGTGTCTTTCTGGATGATAAGAAAGTATATTGCCAGCGACATCGGGATTTGATCAAAGGCGAGGTGAGAGCTTTTCGAATTCTATACGAGTTCAGGGAAAACAGGCTGAAGACAGCAAGGTGGTAAGCTTCGTATTACCTTCCAACTGTGTGTTCCCAGAATCGCCTTCTGTTAGGAATATGGACGTCCTCCTGTGAAACAGCAGGGCGATTTTGAGATCTGCTCTGTACTTTGCCCTCTGAGAGAATCTGTGTCACGTGGATAATGTGTAAAGAGGCAGCCTTATAACAGCTGGATTTTCATTTCAGGTGGTTCCTGAAAATGGATTTGAAGTCTTTAGAAGAGTGTTTGTGGACTTTGAAGGAATCAGCTTGAGAAGGAAGTTCCTCAATGGCTTGGAACCAGAGAATATCCACATGATGATTGGTATGACATGGGCCTCCACTGTTGGGGAAGGCTCAGTGTGTCACCGGGGTACTGGGGTGCTTTCTGGCCTCCAGTCAAAAAGTGAGCCTTCTCATTATCTCCTCTAATCAGTTCTTCTTTCCTTGGTCAGGCTCCATGACAATTGACTGCTTAGGAATTCTGAATGATCTCTCTGACTGTGAAGATAAGCTTTTTCCTATTGGATATCAGTAAGTAGCACGGTAGAGAGAAGCCCCCAAGCCCCACAGCTTGAGCTCCCTGAACCGTGAACAGGTCATTGAAGGGAGAGCCATCCTTATTAGCTACATTTCACTGCTGCTGAAAATTAACTCCATTTTTTGCTACTTCTTATAGATTGGGACTAAAGTATCATTTTACATCCACTAGATCCACTTATAGAAGGAAAGTGTTATTGGCATACTTTCAGAATCATTTCCAAATAAAACCTAACTAGAAACCACGAGGTTAGTCTCTGAAGATTTCACCGAGTTCCGTTTATCTGGATTCAGAAGTCCAGATTGTTGTAGTGGATCAAACCCCTCATGCCTCTGTCCACAGTCCAGAAATTTAAACTCCCACAATAATAATCATATTCTCCAGTGAGAATGTATCATCTTTCCTACGTGAAGCAAATGCTTTAAACTTCTAGCAGGCTGACAGTATAAATTTAAAATTCCCTTTCTAGCTCTCCCGTTTTGGAGTCTCATTTTGCTATATATACTCCAGTTTATTCGGCATTCCAATTCTGGCGACACAGTCTATACTCTGCATTTAGCCAGCAGCTCTTTGTATAAACCAGGCTTCATCAGCAGCCCGCAGATTGGAAGCAGTTACATTTCCCTTGTCTTGCAGGGCTTTTCTCGCAAAGGAAACACTGCATGTTTGCTCTTTCCTCACTTCGTACACCCTCTGGGGCAGTAGTCCCTGCCCGAAGGCCAAGAACTATTTCTTGAAGCAGTCAGTGTTTCTCTTTCTCTGCATTTTAGGATCTTGTACTATTTTTGTCTCCTGCTTACACTACAATAAAAAAAAAAAAAAAAAAAAGATTGGATGCTATTTTCTGAGAGGCTAGGAAAAACCAAGAATTTCAGAAAGCTTGGAACAGCCTAGCCAGGGGGATCTATGATAAGAACCCATGAAGTACAGCCGAATTCTGTCAGCCGAGGAGGCCGGGGACTGGAGGCTGAGAAGAGGTTGGGGCCTGTGTTCGTCTCCGCCCCTGTGCCCTCGCCGGTGGTGATTCTGGTGGGTCTGTTTGCCAGGTGTTCCAGGGTGTACTGGAGTACCACGGACGCTCGCAAGCGCTGCGTGTACACGTGCAAGATCGTGGAGTGCCGCCCCCCCGTGGTAGAGCCGGATATCAACAGCACTGTGGAGCACGATGAGAACAGGACCATCGCCCATAGTCCCACGTCTTTTGCAGGTGAGACTTGAATCAAGATGGGACTGGAGTTCGATTTGCGGAGGTACCATGATTGAAGGCGGGAAAAAAGTCATCTCTCTGGGAGATGTCATGTGTTTCTATTCTGATCTTTACCTTAACGGCCTGCTCTTTATTAGCTCGCTTGTTTGAGATTGTATTTTACTGTGTTTCTTTAAGATTTCATTTTTAAGTAATCTCTACACCCCACGTGGGGCTCAAACCTACAACCCTGAGATCAAGCGTCGCACACTCCTCCCACTGAGCCAGGCAGGCGCCCCCATTTGATGGATATTTTCTTTTTTTTTTTTTTTAAATGTTNTATTCAGTTTGAAATCTTGTCAGTGTGGTGTATGAAAAATGATTTTCAGTTTAAATCTTGGCATTTGGGTATGATGTTATGAGATCCTGGATCTTATTTATTTATTTTATTATTTTTTAAATATTTTTATTTATTTCTAGGAGAGAGAGGGAGAGATAGACAGCGTGAGCAGGGGAAGGACAGAGAGAGAGAGGGAGACACAGACTCTGAAATAGGCTCCAGGCTCTGAGCTGACAGCACAGAGCCCGACGCGGGGCTTGAACCCACAAACCGCGAGATCATGACCTAAGCGAAAGTCGGACGCTTAACCGACTAAGCCACCCAGGCGCCCCTTGATGGATATTTTCATTGGACTTTTTTTTTTTTAGTAAAGAGCGTTTCTTTCTTACCACAGAAATGTCATCTAAAGAAAGTCAGAACACGGCTGAAATTATAAGTCCTCCCTCACCAGACCGACCTCATTCACAAACCTCCAGTTCCTGTTTTTATCATGTCATCTCAAAGGTCCCTAGGATTCGAACGCCGAGTTACTCTCCAACACAGAGATCCCCTGGCTGCCGGCCATTGCCTTCTGCAGGTAAAGGACTTACCCCATTGACGAACTTGACCCAAAAAGGTCAGCTCAAAGATTAGCTTGTGGTTCTTGCAGGCAACTTTATCTCAGTGGCTTTGGCTCGTTGAAAATCTTGATCATTGCAGCTTTCAGTGATAAGTCATTGCCGGGTCACTGAATGCACTGGCTAGCGCACGTCTGTCCTCTCTGTAATAGGCTTTCTCACTTTCTCTCTCTTGTTCAGGAAGTCCTACCCCAACCACTCATGAAATAGTCACAGTGGGTGACCCTTTACTCTCCTCTGGACTCCGAAGCATTGGCTCCAGGCGACACAGCACTTCGTCCTTGTCACCCCAGCGGTCTAAGCTCCGGATAATGTCTCCCGTGAGAACTGGGAGTACTTACTCCAGGAACAGTGTTCCCTCAGTCTCCACCACCGGGACGGCCACAGATCTTGAGTCGAGTGCCAAAGCAGTTGATCATGTCTTAGGACCACTGAATTCAAATAGTAACTTAGGGCAGAACGCTCCCGCCTCTTCCAGTTTGCAGAGGACAGTGGTTACTCTGGGCACTAAAACCAGTCACTTGGATGGATCTTCGTCGTCAGAAATGAAGCATTCCGGCGCTTCCGACTTGGCATCCAAGAGCTCCTCTTTGAAGGGAGAGAAGACCAAAGTGCCAGGTTCCAAGAGCTCGGAGGGATCTGCACATGCCGTGGCTTATCCCGGCCTTCCCAAGCTGGCCCCGCAGCTTCATAACACCGCGCCTGGAGAATTAAATGCCAGCAAGATTGGCACATTCGCAGAACTCTCTGCGGTGCCGTTTTCTTCTAAAGAGGCCCTCTCCTTCCCCCCACTCCATCTGAGAGGCCAAAGGAACGATCGAGACCAGCACGCAGACTCTAACCAATCAGCGAACGCCTCTGCCGAGGAAGATACGGAAGTCAAAACCTTGAAGCTCTCTGGAGTGAGCAGCAGGCCGTCCATTGTCAATGAGCATGTGGGGTCTAGTTCCAGGGACAGGAGACAGAAAGGGAAAAAGTCTTGTAAAGAAACTTTCAAAGAAAAACATTCCAGTAAGTCTTTTTTGGAACCTGGTCAGGTGACCGCTGGTGAGGAAGGAAACCTAAAGCCGGAGTTTGTTGATGAAGTTCTGACTCCGGAGTTCATGGGGCAACGACCATGTAATAATGTTTCTTCTGATAAGATTGGAGACAAAGTCCTGTCTATTCCAGGAGGCCCCAAAGCTCCCTCCATGCAGGTTGAAGGATCTGCCAAGGAATTACAAACGCCCCGGAAACGCACGGTCAAAGTGACGCTGACGCCTCTCAAAATGGAAGGCGAGGGCCAGTCCAAGAACACCCTGAAAGAAAGTAGTCCCGTTTCCCCTCTGCAAATAGAGTCAGCCTCTCCAGCAGAACCAGTTTCAGCCTCTGAAAGTCCAGGGGATGGTCCAGTGGCCCAGCCGAGCCCCAATAATACCTCATCCCAGGATTCTCAAAGTAACAATTACCAGAATCTTCCAGTTCAGGACAGAAACCTGATGCTTCCGGATGGTCCCAAACCTCAGGAGGATGGCTCTTTCAAGAGGAGATACCCCCGTCGCAGTGCCCGGGCACGCTCTAACATGTTCTTCGGGCTCACCCCGCTCTACGGCGTAAGATCCTACGGCGAAGAAGACATTCCCTTCTACAGCAGCTCAACCGGGAAGAAGCGAGGCAAGAGATCAGCCGAAGGACAGGTGGACGGGGCGGACGACCTAAGCACTTCCGACGAAGATGACTTATACTATTACAATTTCACTAGGACAGTGATTTCTTCAGGCGGAGAGGAACGGCTGGCGTCCCATAATTTATTTCGGGAGGAAGAACAGTGTGACCTCCCGAAGATCTCTCAGCTGGACGGTGTCGATGACGGCACAGAGAGTGATACGAGCGTCACGGCCACCGCAAGGAAGAGCAGCCAGATTCCGAAAAGAAATGGGAAAGAAAACGGAACGGAGAACTTAAAGATTGAGCGGCCCGAAGACGCTGGCGAGAAAGAGCACGTCATTAAGAGTTCCGTGGGCCACAAAAATGAGCCAAAGATGGATAACTGCCACTCTGTGAGCAGAGTTAAAGCACAGGGGCAGGATTCCTTGGAGGCTCAGCTAAGCTCCCTAGAGTCCAGCCGCAGAGTGCACACGAGCACCCCGTCGGACAAGAACCTTCTGGACACCTACAACACCGAGCTCCTGAAATCGGACTCGGACAACAACAACAGTGACGACTGTGGGAACATCCTGCCCTCGGACATCATGGACTTCGTACTAAAGAATACCCCGTCCATGCAGGCTTTGGGCGAGAGCCCCGAGTCCTCCTCGTCGGAACTCCTGAATCTCGGGGAAGGCTTGGGTCTCGACAGTAACCGAGAAAAGGACATGGGTCTTTTTGAAGTGTTTTCTCAGCAGCTGCCGACGGCAGAGCCCGTGGACAGTAGCGTCTCCTCATCTATCTCAGCGGAGGAGCAGTTCGAGCTGCCCCTCGAGCTGCCGTCTGACCTGTCCGTCCTTACCACCCGGAGTCCCACGGTCCCCAGCCAGAATGCCGGTAGGCTGGCGGTGATCTCCGACTCTGGAGACAAGAGGGTAACCATCACAGAGAAATCCGTGGCCTCCTCTGAAGGGGACGCGGCACTGCTGAGCCCCGGAGTGGATCCGACGCCCGAAGGCCACATGACTCCCGATCACTTTATCCAAGGACACATGGACGCAGACCACATCTCCAGCCCTCCCTGTGGGTCAGTGGAGCAGGGTCACGGCAACAACCAGGATTTAACTAGAAACAGTAGCACCCCCGGCCTTCAGGTACCTGTTTCCCCTACCGTTCCCATCCAGAACCAGAAATACGTGCCCAATTCCACCGAGAGTCCTGGCCCATCTCAGATCTCTAACGCAGCTGTCCAGACCACTCCACCCCACCTGAAACCAGCCACCGAGAAACTCATTGTTGTTAACCAGAACATGCAGCCACTGTACGTTCTCCAAACTCTTCCAAACGGAGTGACCCAAAAAATCCAGTTGACCTCTTCTGTTAGTTCTACACCCAATGTGATGGAGACAAATACTTCAGTATTGGGGCCCATGGGAAGTGGTCTCACCCTAGCCACGGGACTAAATCCAAGCTTGCCAGCTTCTCCATCTCTGTTCCCTCCTGCTAGCAAAGGATTGCTCCCCATGCCTCACCGCCAGCACTTACATTCCTTCCCCGCAGCTACTCAAAGTAGTTTCCCACCCAGTATCAACAGCCCTCCTTCAGGCCTACTTATTGGGGTTCAGCCTCCTTCAGATCCCCAACTTTTGGTTTCAGAAGCCAGCCAGAGGACAGACCTCAGTACCACAGTAGCCACTCCATCCTCTGGACTCAAGAAAAGACCCATATCTCGTCTGCAGACCCGAAAGAATAAAAAACTCGCTCCCTCTAGCAACCCTTCCAACATTGCCCCTTCCGATGTGGTTTCTAACATGACACTGATTAACTTCACACCCTCCCAGCTGCCAAACCATCCCAATCTGCTAGATTTGGGCTCACTTAATACTTCATCTCACCGAACCGTCCCCAACATCATAAAAAGGTCTAAATCTGGCATCATGTATTTTGAACAGGCACCGCTGTTACCGCAGAGTGTGGGAGGCGCCGCTGCCGTGGCGGCGGGCGCATCAACAATGAGCCAGGACACTGGCCACCTCACCGCGGGGCCTGTGTCTGGCTTGGCATCCGGCTCCTCCGTCTTGAACGTTGTATCCATGCAAACCACAACAACCCCCACAAGTAGCGCGTCAGTTCCGGGACATGTCGCCTTGACCAACCCCAGGCTGCTCGGTACCCCGGATATTGGCTCAATAAGCAACCTTTTAATCAAAGCCAGTCAGCAGAGCCTGGGGATGCCGGACCAGCCTGTGGCTCTACCACCGAGTTCAGGAATGTTCCCGCAACTGGGGACATCCCAGGCTCCTCCCGCCGCCATGACAGCGGCATCTAGCATCTGCGTGCTCCCCTCTGCTCAGACTGCTGGCCTAACAGCCGCCTCACCTCCAGGGGAAGCAGAAGAACACTATCAGCTTCAGCACGTGAACCAGCTCCTTGCCAGCAAAACTGGGATCCTCCCTTCCCAGCGTGATCTTGACTCTGCTCCAGGGACCCAGGGAGCCCACTTTCCCCAGACGGTAGACGCCGCCAACAGCGTGGGGCTGGAGCAGAATAAGGCTTTGTCCTCAGCTATGCAAGCCAGCTCCGCCTCCCCTGGGGGCTCTCCGCCCTCCGGACAGCAGTCCGCAAGCCCCTCTGTGCCGGGTCCCGCCAAACCCAAACCAAAAATCAAACGGATTCCGCTGCCTTTGGACAAAGGGAATGGCAAGAAGCACAAAGTTTCCCATTCGCGGACCAGTTCTTCTGAAGCACACATTCCGGACCAGGAAGCCAGCGCGACCTCCCTGACCTCAGTCACAGGGTGAGACACCCCAATTTCAGCTCTGCTGGGTGGGCAGGGTTTTGTGCTCGGGACCAGAGGCTGTGGAAGTGGCAGTCGCCTGGGAGGGACACGCTGTATTGCCTGGGGGTGTTCTGGGTTGTGACTTAGATTTTTTTTTTTTCCCCTCCACATAGCAGTGATTTCTAGAGCAAAATTTAATTACATCCATGGGTTGGGCAGTTTGTCTCTTGGATAGAACCACATCTCCAATTACTCTTTGATTTAAAACAATGCTGCTGTTTGCTGGGAGGTATGGGGCGGGGGGGGGGGGGGGGGGGGGGGGGGGGGGGGGGGGGTCTTTGTGTTTTTGTTTTTGTTTTGCTGAGGTTTAGGATACTGAAGGCCGATTATTCCTGGCCGGAGGACAAAGCTACCTGTTGGGAGATCCGCTTGAAGTCCTTTTTGAAAACACTGGCATGGGGCGTCACATATATAAAGTACACAAGTGAAGCCTTACATATGTACCCATGTAGCCACCATTCAGATCAAGATCTAAAACGTTCATAGAGTTCCAGAAGCCTCCTTGTGCAGGCTCTGGGTCAGTACGCCCTCAGGGTAACCACTGTCTCACCTTTATCGCCACAGATAGTTTTCTCAGCTCAAGAATGTTATCAGATCCTTCAGGTAGAGTCATTTCTTTAGACCAAGCTCCCCATTCAGCACGTTTCCTGGTGGTTTTTCTTGAAAAGATACAAACGGTTCTGTTCCAGGACTCCAGGAGCAGAGGCTGAGCAGCAGGGTGCCGCTGATGTGGAACAGTCGTCACAGAAGGAGTGTGGACAGACCACAGGGTAAGTACACAGACGATTTCTCTAAGGTTAAGCCCTCCGTTCTATCCGCCTCATTTAAAAGATAGTTCTTCCTGGTTTGTATTACTTTTGTTGCCAGAGCTTTTTTTTTTTTTAAGTCTATTTACGTATCTATTGGGATGGGGGAGGGGCAGAGAGATGGGGAAAGAGAATCCCAAGCAGGCTCCACGCTATCAGCGTGGAACCGGATGTGGGACTCAGTCCCACACACCACTCGATCATGACCTGAGCCAAAATCAAAAGCGGGATGCTTAACCTGACTGAGCCACCCAGGCACCACCGTATATGCCTTTTTTACATAAAACAAATAATGCTCTACATACTGTTCTGTACTTGGTTTTGCTTTGCTTTGTTGTTTTACTTATTTAAACAGTCCATTATTGGAGCACCTGGGTGACTCAGTGGGTTAAGCGTCCCGACTCCGGGTTTTGGCTCAAGTCACGATCTCACGGTCATGAGTCGGGCTCTGCCTTGACAGTGAAGAGCCTGGGCATTCTCTCTCTCCCCCTCTCTCTGCCCCACCCCTGCTTGTACTTTAACTCTCTCAGAATAAATAAATACATTTAAAAAAATAAAAAAGATAAACAGTCCCGTGTTGATACGCATTTGGGTTGTCTCCAAATGTTATTTAATTTAAGAAAATGAAAACTGGTGGTGGTTTTCTGGCTCGTGCAGCTTGGTTTTATTTTTGGTTGAATCAGTTGACTTAAGTGATTACAGAACCGCTTCTAAGGAACGTCCTTGCATCTTTTTTCTAATACCGAGCATATGAGAAAAATTTCAGGGACCTAATCTACAAACTGCAAAAGAGATTTAAAGCAGAAATTTAATGTCAGTGTTTGGGAAAGAATCTCATAAGAGACCGTTTTATGTTACGTACAGCACTGGGGTGGTGTTTATTCGACAGGTAATACACAAAGCATCCTATGGTTCATTTCCAGGAGTTGTTTTATATAGCCCATACAGCAGTATGGCAGACCATGGACAGTCTTTATCTTTGAACTGAAGAGCTAACTGATGTTAAATCTCACATTTGGTTTTCTTTTCTTTTAGGCAAGTTCTCCCGGAGATTCAGACAACACAGAATTCAGCAAATGAACAAGAAAGTACAGGTATGGGTGGGTAACATGTTAGAATTAGAATTTCAAAGCCAAACGTAGTGTAAAAATTGCCTACGTTATCTACTAATTTTCTAAATCAAAAAACCTTAAGCTCAAAGAAGTTAAGTGATTGGCCAGAGGTGTAGACTAAACCTCAGAGCACCCGTCTCCTGGTCCAGTGCCCTCTTCTACTACATGTTCTGTGACCAGCTGCTGAGTATTCTTCTAGTGTGATTTTACTAGCTAGTGATTACCTGACTTCATCCCTCAGGGGTCACCAAAGCAACCTGTATATCTGGTCAGGACCCCAGATACATCTCCATGGTACTTTCTATCATCTGTTGCTAAGGAATTGGATCAGTAAAGAACTGGTCACTTCAAGATTAGTAAGATCCGGGTATAAGACTTTGGCCCATTTCCATCAAGGGAACCTCCCCAAAGAGAGGCAGGTAGAGAAAATGCTCAAGTGTAACACTTGGGATGTAATCACATTCTGCTGATTGGCTTATTCCTCAAGAGGATGGACTCACCTCCTTATGCCAGAAGGCAGGGGCAGACTCTGGAACCACGTGGGTTGAAATCTCATCTTATCAGGTGTATGAACTTGGTCTAGTTACTGCCTCTGGTTTCTCACCTTTAAAGCGTAGGTTATAATAACACCTCCCTCCTTGGATTGCTGTGAGGTTCATCTGAGTTAAAACACGGGAAGTTCCTAGAAGAGTGCCTCATGCCTAGCACTTCATTCATATCTATCATTATTATTTTTTTAGCTTTGGCCCCGTTGAGGGCAGTTGCTTATTGAAAAACTATCAAACTGGCATACCAGAAAGTCTGCCGCAGAGACAGCATGACTTCAGGGGGAAAATAATGTCCTAGTTTTAGTCATTCTCTAGCTATGACCTAGGGCACGTTGTTCCACGGCTTTGAGCCTTCTGAGCCTTGGATTTTGTTATCTGTGAGTGGGAGTAATCATACCAACTGTGGAATGTTGTTAGGCCTGGAGATAACATATCAGTGCTCAGTAAGTGTTTGCTAATGCAGCCACTTTGGCCCCTATCTGTTTTCTCCCTGTAGAACCTAAAACCACAGAAGAAGAAGAAAACAATTTCAGCTCTCCGCTGATGCTTTGGCTCCAGCAAGAACAGAAAAGAAAGGAAAGCATTGCTGAGAAAAAGCCCAAGAAAGGACTTGTTTTTGAAATTTCAAGTGATGATGGCTTTCAGATCTGTGCGGAAAGTATCGAAGGTAAGTGGATTAAATGAGGTGGCGGGAGGTGGCGCCTGGCTGGCTCATTTGTGGAGCAGGTGACTCTGATCTTGGGGTTGTGAGCTCGAAAACCACATTGGGTGTAGAGATTACTTAAAAAAAAAAAAAAAAAGAAGTTTTCTCACTAGTAGCACAGCCTCTGTCTCAGCCAGATCTGCACTTAGGTACATTAATTTGAACCATTGATGTGGGCAGTTCTGTGCTAGGTGTTATGGATTGCTACTCATAGGCATTATACATCTAACTTGGCCTTAAGTTGGTGTTAGTGGAGAAATAACCCATAACTTAGCCGAGCGCATGAGACCTCTGCTCTCTCCAGCCTTGTCTTCTGTGACTTCTTTGTGTACCTTAAATGCCATTCTCTCACCCCTGTGCCTTCCCCATTTCTTCCCTCTACCTGGAATGTTCTTTTGACCCTGTGCACCTGGTGAACTCTAGCTTGTCCTTCAGGGTTGGCTTGGGAAGTCTTCCCTGACCTTCTGAGGCAGATAAGCACTCCCACTCCCTCCTTTGCTTCTTTTGGAATCTCAAATGTTTCTCTTATAGCTTTAAATTTGTTTTATAAATGTCTGTTTACTTTGACATCTTACTCAACACTCAACAGGGAACTTTCTAGAAAGTCTGGCATTTTTTTTCTTGTTTCTTTTTATATCCTGAGCGTATAGGTGTTCGTTAGCTGTTGAAGAACTAGTGAACATTCTCTAGGCAGTAAGTTCTAGAGGAGTTCGAAGGAAAGAAAGATCCCTGTGGGTCAGTTAGGGTTCTTGAACCCAGAAAAAATGGTAGAATAGAAGATCCCATTAAAGGAGATAAGAGAAATTGGGTTAGGAAAAGAGGAATGGGAAAGGTTTTCTGTACAGAGACATAAGCAAAGTTAGACAGGGTTGTATCTGGTGGGTTTAGAGCACCCTCAGGTGGGAGAAGACGTCGAAATCTTCGCCAAGTAGTAGCAAGAGAAAACTGTGAAGGTGGATTGGACACAAGTTTTGGAGGGCCTTTGGTGCCATCAGGCATTTGGAAATCTGGAAAAGTGGAATAAAAGCAGAATTTCAAGAAGCTTAAGGTGGACTGAATTAGAGACGTGAGGTGGCAGGGGGTCACTAATGAAAGCATAGCTACAGTAGAGCTCTCCGACGATAAAGCCCGCTCCCAGCGGGCAGGGAGAGGACAGAAGAATGGACGCGCTTCATGACTGCCTGGAGACGGAGGGTAGGGAGAGAAGGTGACTCTGAAGATTCAGTCCTGGGTCACTTAGAAAAAAAAAGGTGCGTAAGGAGAACAACAAAACTACGTTGAGTGTGTGAGTGCCACGTACAACGCATTGAGTATGATGTGCTGGTGACAAGTCCAACAGGCAGCAGGAGGTCACAGACTCTTAAGCTGGAGCAGGAAGGGGCTGAAAAGGTTTTCTAGTCACACCCCTTAGTTTAAAGGAACAGAGAGGGAGATCTCCCGCAGTCTGGGTTAAATCGTTAATGCTAGTACTGTTTTGTGTAGGACGTCGGGGACGGAAGTAATGCCAAACATTCAGGTTCGGGACCCAGACTACCATCAAGGGATGTGGATGCTTTGGGGCTTCGGGGCTCATTTTCAGAAGGTGTGAACCTCTTTTCTAACAGCAGGAAGCAGTTGGTTGGCGCTCCTTCTGCACAGCTCTCTTATGCACAGAACACAGGAAAACTAAGAAAACAACAAAAAACCATTGTAGAAGTGGGTCTTCACCCTGCAGGGATTCTGAGCCCAACACTTGTGCACGTCATTGGTGTTAGAAGTACTTGACCGAATATTTTATTTCCTCACAGATGCCTGGAAGTCACTGACAGATAAAGTCCAGGAAGCTCGATCAAATGCCCGCCTAAAGCAGCTCTCATTTGCAGGTAACGGCACAGTGGTCATTTTATCCTGAATACTCTGTCTCAGAGTGTTTTGGTAACTTGTTCATCTAAAACTATATAGTTGATTCCACAGAAGTGTCAAAGTCTTTAAAAAACAAAATGTAACTCTTAGACTATACAGTTCACCCATTTTGAGCATACAGCTCGGGGCACCTGGGTGGCTCAGTTGGTTAAGCAGCCAACTTTAGCTCAGGTCATGATCTCACCGTTCCCGAGTTCAAGCCCCACGTCGGGCTCTGTGCTGACAGCTCAGAGCCTGGAGCCTGCTTCAGAGTCTGTGTCTCCCTCTCTCTCTGCCCCTCCCCCTCTCGTGCTGTTTCTTTCTCTCTCTCAAAAATAAATAAACATTAAAAAAGAAAAAGGGATATTAGTGCAACCTTCAAAATGTATAGTGAGGATTAATGAACACGTTGTGTCAACTATACTCAAGTAAAACATTTTTTTAAAAAGGGACCTGATGTTATTGGCTATTTATATGTATGAAAATCAGTATGGTTATTTATATGTATATAACTGATGTTATTTATGTATATATCCTCATTTACCTAATAGGCCAAATTAAGACCATTATTCTGACTGAAACGAATTGAAACAATTCAGAGAAATCATCGAATACCAGCTTTTGTGGGGGAGGTGATAGCATCTTTTGATGCCCAGCATTTCTTAATTGCCATGAAGTCCAGTCTGTGTAGTTTTTCTTTTGTTGTTTGTGCCTTTGGTGTCATATTCAAGAAATCGCTGCCAAACCCAGTGCTGTGAGGGTTTTGTCTCATGTTGTCTTCTGAGAGTCCTGTGGCTTTAGGTGTTTTTTACACTTAGGTTCTTGATCCATTTTGAATTAATTTTCATAGATGGCATGAGGTAAGGGTCAACTGTATTCTTTTGCATGTGCATATCTGCTTTTCCTAGCACCATTTGTTGAAAAGACCGCCTTTTCCCCCATTAAATGGTCTTGGCACTGTTCTCAAAACTCATGTGATCAGGGGTTCCCGACTGGCTCAGTCAGGGGAACATGTGACTCTTGATCTCGGGATTGTGAGTGTGAGCCCCACATTGGATGTGCAGATTACTTAAAAATAAAATCTTTTTAAAAAAAAATCATGTGACCAAATATGCAAGGGTTTATTACCAGACTCTGTTCTGTTCCATTGGTCAGTATGTCCATCTTCATGCCAGTGCTGCACTGTTTCGATTCATTGCTGTACATCTGTGTTAAGCTTTGAAAGCGGGAAATTTGAGTCCTCCAGTTCTGTTCTTTCTCGGGATTGTTTTGGCTATTTAGGATCCCCTCAGATTCCATATGAATTTTAAGATGAGCTTTTCTATTTTTGCAAACAAATGTCACTGGGATGTCGATGGAAATTGCACTGAATCTGCAGATCACGTTGGTAGTATTGACAGTTTAGTAATATTAAATCTTCTAACCCATGAACACGAGATGTGTTTGCATTTATTTAGGTCTTTGATTTCTTTTGGCAGTGTTTTATAGTTTTCATTGTACAAGTCCTTTACCTCCTTGATTACGTTGATTTGTAAGTACTTGTTTCTTTTTTGATGCTAATGTAAATAGAATCGCTTTTTTGTAAATTCCTTTTCCGCTGTTCTTGTTCCTGTAAAGAAACTCAACTGATTTTTTGTGTTGACTTTGTATCCTATTGCTTTGATGAATTCATTTATTCTAACACGTTTTTTGTGGTATCATTAGAGTTTTCTACATATACGATCGTGTCCTCTGCAGAGATAATATTACTTCTTCCTTTCCAATTTAGGTGACTTTTATTTCTTTTTCTTACTTAATAGAAGTGATGAAAGTGTGCATCCTTGCTTCGTTCATGACCTTAGAGGGAAAGCTTTCAGTCTTTCCCTATTGAATCTAGTATTCTCTGTCAGTTTTTCAATACATGGCTTTTATTAGTACTTCATTCTTTTCTATTACCAAATAATACTCCATTTTGTGGATATACCATATGTTCATATATCTGTTCATCAGCTGATGGACATTGGGTATGTTTCCACCTTCTGAACCCCTGAACTGTAAGATCATGACCCAAGCTGAAATCAAGAGTTGGACGCTTAACTGACTGGGCCACCTAGGCGCACCAAGTGTAGACATGTTTTTATTTCCCTTGGGTGTGTACCTAGGAGTGGAATTGCTGGGTCATGTGGTAACTCTATGTTTATATTTTGAGGAACTGGGGCACCTGGATAGCTCAGTCAGTTGAGCGTCCCGAGTTCAGCTCAGGTTATTATGATCTCGTGGTTCATGGGTTCAAGCCCCGTGTTGGGCTCTGTGTTGACAGCTCAGAGCCTGGAGCCTGCTTCAGATTCTGTGTCTCCCTCTCTCTCTGTCCCTCCCCTGGTCGCACTCTGTTTCTCTCTCTCCCAAAAATAAACATTAGAAAAAAATTAAATTTTGAGGAACTGCCAGGTAGTTTTTTAAGTAGCTGCACCCTTTTACACCAGCAATGTTTGATGGATCCGATACCTACATCCTGGTCAACACTTGTTCTTGGCTGTCTTTTTGTTATAGATATCCTACTGAATTACTTATTCAAAAATAAATACATAAACTTGAAAAAATAAAAATAAAACAGGATTAAATTTTTTATTAATAGGCTTTCAAAAATTTATTTTGAGAGAGAGAAAGAGCACAAGCAGGGGAGGGTCAAAGAGAAAGGGAGAGAGAGAATCACAGGCGGGTTCCACACTGCCCGCCCAGAGCCCAGTATGGGGCTCAAACCCACAAATATCCAGAGTCAGACGCTTAACCAACTGAGCTAACCAGGAGTCCCCAACTATCTTATTAGTTTTATTAATAGATTTATTAACAAATTTATTTGTTAACAGATTTATTAACAAAGATTCAGAACTTGGAGATAATCTAGATAAAGATGGAGGAGACAGGCTCTCTTTTACATTAATGGCCGATACCTAAATTATGAATACAGCTATTCGGAGGAACAGTTAAGCAATGGCTATGAAAATTTTCAAATCAGTTGCCCTTCCATCCAACAATTCCACTTCTAGGAAATCATCCTATAGGTAGTCTCAGCCAAGTCATAAAAAATGTATGAGAGTAGGTCAAGCATCCTTAAGTTAGGCTCAGTCGGTTAAGCGTCTGACTCTTAGTTTCTGCTCAGGTCATGATCTCATGGCTCGTGAGTTAGAGCCCCACCTCAGGCTCTGCACTGACAGAGCTTGGGATTCTCTCTCCCCCTCTCTGCCCCTCCCCTGTTCACACTATCCCTGTTTCTCTCAAAATAAATGAACTTTAAAAAATATGTATGAGGGTGGGCTAGGGGAGGGGAGATTAGGAAGAAAAAAGTTTTTTTAATGTATGAGGGTGTTCATTTCCAACATGTGCTAGCAAAAAACTAGAGGTGGCGAGCCAAATAAAAACAACTCAGCAGAGTAATTTAGCAAGACGTCCAAAGTAAATTAATTGGAAAAGGCAAGTTGTAACAGCATGTATCTGGTATGATCATGACTCCCTTTAGATACTTTTATTTTATACACCCACATGTACACACATACTCTATCTAAATCTATAGAATGGTTGCCTCAGAGTGAGACCTGGGGAATTCAGATGGGCAACTTGTACTCTCTATGCTACTTATTTCACTTTATCTCCATGAGTGGATGCCGCTTTTATTAATTTTTTACAAAATAGTTAATTCAAATACTGTTTTTAAAAAAGCAGATGGCAAACAAACTTTTAAAAAGGTCTTCTGAGCATTGAGTACTGTATAGAATTTTTGAATCATTATATGACATGCTTGAAACTAATATGATACTGTATATTAGATGAAAAGAAAAAGAAAAGACAAAAAGAGTGAAGAGTCTCCTAGGTTCTCAGCCTCTGGCCCTCACTCTACCCTTGGCTAAACCTGTTCAGCCATTCTCATGCCCTCACATTACACTCGTCTGATTCACCCGTTCTTCATCCCTTCCCCCAGATCTCAAGCCTAAAGAGTCCAGTAAATCTGCACTTCCTTCCTTTCCCTCCTCTGTCACATCCAGTTGGTCGCTGCTGTTGACTCTGCCCCAAAAGTATGAGTCATGTTCTCTTCTCCTCACTCCTTCTTTCCTCAGGAATAGCCTTTGTCATTCTCTCACCAGTAATCTCAAAAAGCCTTCTAAATGGTCCCTGAGTCCCTCACCTCCTTCTGGTAGTGAATCCTCAGTGTCACCAGAAGTACCTCTGAAGCTTCTTTGCTTGCCTACTAATTGTCGAATAAAGTCTTCAACCCTTAGGTGTTAGCTATTTAAAAATAATACCTAAATGCCCCTGGCACTGTGTTGGGCACTTAGGATATAAGGGCTGAGTAGAAGCAGACTCAGGCCTGCTCTCCAAGGTTTCCAGCCCATTGACCCCTTCACAAGGTCCCTGCTGCACGACTTTATACTCCAGTGGCAGGGATAAGCCCGCTGAAGAATGAAATCAAGGACACAGGGTAGGTAGTTGGTGGCAGGAGGCCTCTTCTAGATAGAGTGCTCAGGAAAGGAGTTTCTTGATAAATACAGCCATGGCCTGAGTGATGACAAGAAGGAGCCAGTCATGCAACAAGTAGCGTAAAAGCCCTCAGTGCAGAAGAAACAGCACATCAAAAAAGCCCTAATGTGGGAATACCTTTGGTAATTTTGTCGTCTCTCTCTCTTCCATGAAATAAAAGCTCCATAAATACAGGTGCTTTGCCTTTCTCATTTTCCTGTGTGTTCCCAGGCTCTGCCTGGCACAGCAGAAAGATGGAAAGAAGATGTGGGTTAGAGTAGGTGCTCAGAAAATATTTGTTGCATGAGTGAATGAATCCTCCACCACAGAAGAGATTGCTCCCACAGTACTTCATTCTGTACCTTTATTTGGGTACTTTCACAGTGTGTGATTTGGGTACCTAATGGCCTCTCTCTACCAAGAGCTTGAGAATGGGGGCCATGTAGGATTCATCTTTGTTCTCCCCATTACTGACACAGTATTTTGTCTTGCTCTAAGCCCTCCAGTGCAAGTAGAGTTGAACACTCAGCCTAAACATAAAAATGAACTTTTTGTGAAAACAAGTATATTTTCCCAATGTCTTTTTATACGTAGGAATCCACGACAATCTAAAGCTCCTAAGAGAAAATTCTTGGGGAAAATCAATGTTGTGTAGGGGAAAAAAAAAATCTTTGCCATTGTCTTAATTGGCTTCAGGGCTTCTGTCGGAGACTTGTGTTCTGTGCTTAGGTTGAATTCTGTTTGTCTGTTTGTTTGTTTGTTTGTTTGTTTTTAATGTTTTATTTATTTCTAGGAGAGAGAGAGAGACAGCGTGAGCAGGGGAGGGTCAGAGAGAGAGGGAGTCACAGACTGAAACAGGCTCCAGGCTCTGAGCTGGCTGTCAGCACAGAGCCCGACGCGGGGCTCAAACCCACGAACCGTGAGATCATGACCTAAGCGAAAGTCGGACGCTTAACCAACTAAGCCACCCAGGCACCCCTGTGCTTAGGTTGAATTCTAACTGGAACATGGTTGTGTCCAAAGAATGTTACTGAAGACTGAACTTTCTGCTTGCCATTGAAACCAAATGATCTCTCTTAGAAATCCTCTCAGTGAAAGAGAAATTAGGCAACTAATAGTAATTTTCCACTCTTCTCAAAAAATTATCGGGGACATAGAACAATTTTAAAGTATGAAAAAGCAACCGCAAGAACAAAGTAAAAGGTAGACAGGGTCTCGCCCCCCGGAAGTAACTGTTGTTAACATGTAAACGCAGATAACCTCCCAGGCAGGACACATGGTCCCCAAAGTACACCGAGCTTGCCTCTCTCAGTACGCTTCGTAGCCCAGAGGGTATGTCTGTCAGGATTGCACGTGTGACCCTGGCACAACAGACACCCTTATTGTCTTGATGTCTGTTAATAATACCAAAAGCAGTATTTGCAATGAAAGAATACTGTTGACCTTATGAAAATGTAAAAAATATTAGCTATTTCAGGGCTCTTGGTGGCTCAGTCACTTAAGTGACCGACTCTTGATTTTGGCTCAGGTCGTGATCTTGCTGACCTGAGGTGGAGCCCAGTGTCAGGTGCTCACTCCCTCAAAGTAAATAAATAAACCTTAAAAATATATATATTAGCTCTTTCTTTCTTTTTCTTTCTTCCTTCCTTCCTTCCTTCCTTCCCTCCCTCCCTCCCTTCCCTCCCTCCCTCCCTTCCCTCCCTCCCTCCCTCCCTTTTAGGTAATCTTCACACCCAACGTGGGACTCGAACTTAACAACCCTGAGATCAAGAGTCACATGCTCTACTGACTGAACCAGCCAGGCGCCCCCAGTATTAGCTATTTCTAGTGTCAAAAAGGTGGAATGCCCCATCCCTTTAATGCAGGAAGACTGTCATTTTGGAAAGACTTTCACCATCTATGCCCACAGCTTCTATAAATGTTATTTTTATAGGGCTGCCTGGGTGGTTCAGTCAGTTAAACGTCTGACCAGGTCAGGTCATGATCTCACAGTTTGTGAGTTCAAAGCCCTGCATCAGGCCCTCTGCTCTCAGTGTAGAGCCTGCTTTGGATCCTCTGTCTCCCTCCCTCTGTGTCCCTTCCTCCTCTCATTCTTTCTCTCTGTCAAAAATAAACATTAAAAAACTAAAAAGCATAAAGTAAAAAATATCACAGATGCCCATTAATGGCATGAGGTTAAGTGAGTAAAACAAAGCACCTATCAAGCATACTATCTCATATACTCACTATATCAACAAAAAAGAGAGTTCTGTATTAGGGGCTTATTGCTAACCATTCTTCTAAATTTTAGGGCGGTACTTCTGTGAGTGTGAAGTTAGAGAACCCAGGTACCCCACTAACCTATAAACACAAATGGGATCATGGTTGAAGCTCTCCATTCCAAAGTTCAGAGCTCATCATGTTAGCCGTGACTTTGGGTGTGGTATTTACCTTCTCTGAGCCTAGATTTACTGACCTGAAAATGCAGCTGGGAGTCCCTGCCTCACATGGGCACTAGGAACAACACATACAGCCTACGTGGGTACATACAGAGCATGGAGAACTGTTTGGTGGTGGTGGTTTTTCACTTAATATATCGTGAACATTTTCCATATTGGTAGGATCTGAGCCTGTGTCATCCTAATGGCTGGTTAATGCTGGCTCTCGGCTAGTCTTTAATGTGGTTCACCCCCGAGCAGCCTCTGGCAGAGCTCTGCTCTAGCCCAGGGATCTTGAGTGCCGGGCGGTCTCTTGTCGCCGGCCGCGCCCTCCGCTACCCTGGTGCCTTCTGCCCGACAGGTGTTAACGGCCTGAGGATGCTGGGAATCCTTCACGATGCAGTCGTGTTCCTGATTGAGCAGCTCTCTGGTGCCAAGCACTGTAGGAATTACAAATTCCGTTTCCACAAACCAGAGGAGGCCAACGAACCCCCCCTGAATCCTCATGGCTCAGCCAGGGCTGAAGTTCATCTGAGGCAAGTTCCATTCTCTTTCACGAGCAGGTTCGGGTCCCGATTTTATTATCTAATAACAGAGTTATCCTCCCACGCAACCTTTGAGATTTCCAGTGTCAGAGCTGTCCACTGCCTCTGTCACAGCATTTCTGTTACAGCACGTTTTCATCTTTTGGCTCCAGGAAGTCAGCATTTGACATGTTTAACTTCCTGGCTTCCAAACACCGGCAGCCTCCCGAATACAACCCCAACGATGAGGAAGAAGAGGAGGTGCAGCTGAAGTCTGCTCGGTAAGTCCGCGGTTGCAGGGCTCATTAGGAACACCCTTGGGGCGCCCGAGTGGCTCAGTTGGTTAAGCATCTGACTTTGGCTCAGGTCATGATCTCACGGTTCGTGGGTTTGAGCCCCTTAGCGGACCCTGTGCTGACAGCTCAGAGCCTGGAGCCTGCCTCAGATGCTGTGTCTTCTTCTCTCTCTGCCCCTCCCCACTCATGCTCTGTCTCTCTCTCTCAAAACTGAATAAACATTAAAAAAAAAAATTTTTTTTTTTTTTTTTTTAAGGAACACCCTTTGCTTCCCTCTTCTTTGGCTGTCCAGGGCGCTGTGTGGTTTTGCTTGGATCAGAATTTCCCAGATAACATTTAAGACTAAAGTGTAGTTTGTATTAAGGTAGAAGTCTTGCTTCTTGGCCTTTTGGCTAAGATCAAGTGTAAGGTAGCAGTAGCTGGCTGGCAGAGAGAGGAATGTGTGTAGAGGAGAAATTCACATAACTCTAAGATGCGTTTTTAAATTTTCTTTAACCAAACTATATATATACCCTGTCATCTTTGGATGTACCACCAACAGTCCCCATGGTCAAGTACTGTGTGTATTATTATAGGCCTAATTTTCTAAGACACTTGTTGGGCTTGGCATTGAACAAGGAGAATAATGTAGTCATTATACTCTAGGAACCTTTGACCCAAAACTCAGAACTGATTCTCTTCTGAAGAGAATTTATTAGTCATACACCTTGTGTCTTTAGGAGGGCGACCAGTATGGACCTGCCGATGCCCATGCGTTTCCGGCACTTAAAGAAGACTTCCAAGGAGGCAGTCGGTGTCTACAGGTAGGGCTAAAATTGTGGAAGGAATTAAAGAAAACTAATCATTTTCCAAAATCAAAGTGAACCAAATGCTGGAATGACCTCCCTCGTTCAGTGAGGTTTTTTGAGCTATTGTTAATGGCCCCTGATGTCCTGGGATCCTGTACTTCCTTGTGGTGAACAGGGAGCTTCCCTCAGTAAGCATTAAAATGTTGCCACTTCTAGTACTTTACAGAGTGAAGAAATCTTTTCTTGGCCATTTGTTTAAACAACGAATGTACTACTCAAATCAAGTGGGTCCAGACTCCATTTTTTTTTTTTTTTCCAAGTCTCTGTCCTCCCTGGGGAGCTGACAAACCAGGAAGTTTAATACATGTATTCGCGTGTTCACACAGTTAACCGGATTTGCAAAATCCGTAGCCGAACTCTTTTCCGTCTTTATGTCGTAGGTCTCCCATTCATGGCCGGGGTCTTTTTTGTAAGAGGAACATCGATGCAGGGGAGATGGTGATTGAGTATGCGGGCAATGTCATCCGTTCCATCCAGACTGACAAGCGAGAGAAGTATTATGACAGCAAGGTGAGTGGCCCGCTTTCTCGGGCCCAGTTCTGGTGTTGCATGTGGACAGGGGCCGTCAACTGCACATATGATCCCTACATCCCAAAAGAAATAGAATGTTTTGTTCATCTGAAGATACCTTTTTTTTTTTTTTTTTACATTTTGACATCTTTAAAATCTGTGGTGGGCCCCGGGGAGAGCTCAGAATCTACCCTAAGGATTGGTACACAGAGATACTCTTTGAAGGTTTGTCTGAGCAGATCAAAAGCCCACAGTGACGTGACGTTTTAGGTATCTCTCCTCTCTCTCTCTTTTTTTAAAATTTTTTTTAACCTTTTATTTATTTCTGAGAGAGAGAGACACAGCGTGAGCAGGAGAGGGTCAGAGAAAGAGAGAGACACAGAGCCTGACGCAGAGCTGGAACCCACAAACCATGAAATCATGACCTGAGCTGAAGTCAGACACTTAACCGACTGAGCCACCCAGGTGCCCCTTATGTCTCTCTTTCCCGTGGATACCTGGAGAAACTTGTAGTATGGTGGCTGCAGTGTAGGAGTTTGTTACAGAAGCATTTGAGAGGCGGGAGACCCTTTACTAGAAGGGACTTTTCTCAGCAGCAGCTGTCGGCCACATCAGAAGGAGGTCGGGAAATGGGCCCCAACCCGAGCTGTGCCAAGTAATGAGGTCCCCTCTCTCCTTCACGTGTAGGGCATCGGCTGCTACATGTTTCGGATCGATGACTCGGAGGTGGTGGACGCCACCATGCACGGGAACGCCGCACGCTTCATCAACCACTCCTGCGAGCCCAACTGCTACTCCCGAGTCATCAACATCGACGGGCAGAAGCACATTGTCATCTTTGCCATGCGCAAGATCTACCGCGGGGAGGAGCTCACTTATGACTACAAGTTCCCCATAGAGGATGCCAGCAACAAGCTCCCCTGTAACTGTGGTGCCAAGAAATGCCGGAAGTTCCTAAACTAAAGCTGCTCCTCTCCCCCAGGGGTGGAGCGCAAGGACCCGGGGCCGTCCAGAGCCGTGCTGAGGGCCTTTGCCAGCAGCTGGGAGTTCCAGGATTGAGTGGGCGCGGTGTGAGGGGCCTCCGTGATGGCTGGGCTCCCGCGCGTCCCCTGTTCACATTCCACGTGTGATGGTAGTCCTGGAGAGAGAGAGGCAGTCTCGAAGAAAAGCTCCGCGACCGGCTTTCTCCCGGGGCCCCTCTGATTGTATGCCGTTAAAGAGTGGAAATGGGGTCGCTAGCAGACTTGCCTGGAAAGAGCCTGTAGAGGGTTAGTGATGTTGGGAGATCAGGCCTGCGCGTCTCCTCAGAGAGAAGTTGCCATCCCCGCCTGGGCCCTTTCCCAAGCACTGGAAGCCAGGGGTCAGGCAGGGCCCCAGATACGAGAGGTGGCTGGATGCCTGATAGTGAGCCACCCGGGCCCAGCCTGTGGCAGTCTGTTGAACAAACAGAGAAGGTCTGGTGGTTTTCCCTACTACCCTCCCACTTGAGAGCTCACTTCCGGTTGGGAGACGGGATTCTTAGCACCATTGGTGTCAAAAGGCTGTCTTGGGGTTGTGCCAATTAATCACCAAACATGGAGCCCGTGGGCTTTCAGTGGGAGTGTTACCCCCATGAGCCTTATCTTAGCCAATTACCTTTCTTGACAATAGGAGCGGCTTCCCTCTCATCCCTTCTCCTCACTCCACTTTCTTCGTTTCCCCTGTCTCATCCCACCGCTTTCCTGATCTTTCTGGGTGGTAGAGAGGAGTGACTCCCTGCTCAAGGACACCCCCTGTTGGGCATAGCCTGTGCCTACGAAACGATCCCTGAGCCTGTAAGCACTCCCAGTGGGGAAGTGGACAGGAGCCATTGGCCGTAACCAGACAGAATTCGGAGTTTTCATAAAGCTCCGCCGAGAGTTTTAAAGAAGTCTGTGTAGCATGGTTTTTTAGACGAGGAAAACGATTATTTAAATAGGATCTGAATCATGCAACAACCAGATTTTCACAACCAGGATCAACCCCTGGGCCCCATTCCTAGGACATGGTGACTTTCTTTTCCCCTTGTTGAGATATAGGAAGACTTCATTTTTAACCTGTCGGTGACCAGTTGAAGGCAGAACACTAATCAGATTTCAAGGCCCAAAACTTGGGGACTAGACCACGTTGTATCTAGGGACCTCTGCCACCTGCGCAAAATCCACAGATTAAGTAAAATTAAATGACACTACTGCCCTGATTACTCCTTAGGATGTGGTCAAAACAGCATCAAATGTTTCTTCTCTTCCTTCCCCGAGACGGTGTCCTGAACCTGTTAAATTAAGTCATTGGATTTTACTCTGTTCTGTTTACAGTTTACTATTTAAGGTTTTATAAATGTAAATATATTTTGTATATTTTTCTATGAGAAGCACTTCATAGGGAGAAGCACTTACGACAAGGCTATTTTTTAAACCGCGGTATTATCCTAATTTAAAAGAAGATCGGTTTTTAATAATTTTTTATTTTCATAGGATGAAGTTAGAGAAAATATTCAGCTGTACACACAAAGTCTGGTTTTTCCTGCCCAACTTCCCCCTGGAAGGTGTACTTTCGTTGTTTAATGTGTAGCCTGTTTGTGCCCTGTTGACATGAAGCGTGTCCTGGGTTTGCTCTCTGACAATAAATGGAAAAGGAAGGTCACCCGACGCCATTGGGCCACTCCCCTCCTTCCCGCACTGAAGCTCCTCAGAAGGCTGTGGTGGTATCTTGACACAGCAGCGCCCGCCCTCCTTTCCCGCACCCGCTCTCCCTGCTCTGGGACCAGCTCAGAGCGGCGAGAGGTGTGATCTACATCTCCCTCCTCTTTCCCTACTTCCGAGATAGCAACCAAGTTGAATGGCAACCTGACGTTTTCCATCACCATCTGCCTCATCGGTCACCTCGTTCCCTTTCCCTCTGCCCGCCAGGTCCTCATACCTGCCAAGAACCCACGGAACCCCCTGTGCCCTCTCTCGGGGCAGCCCGTTGAAACTGAAGCACAGTCTGACCACTCACGATAACGCAGATTTTTCCCTGCCTCTGTCGGCCACTGGGTTTCAGAGCAGTGCAGTCCAGTAGAGGGCAGGGCGCCCTTTTCTCCCGCGGGAAGCCCCTTCCTCTGGAAGTCTAGCAAAGCAATACGACTCCGCCCTGCGCTCTCTGCCCCAGGACTCATGGCTCTGCTGTGCCTTCCACCCTGGGCTTCCTGTTCTTCCGTGACCTTAAGAACTGTGTCTGGTGGCTTTGCTGGAACATTGTCACTGTGTTCGCTGTCATGCGGGGAGCCCAGCACTGTGGCCAGGATGGCAGAGACTTCCTCGTCATCATGGAGAAGTGCCAGCAGGGGACTGGGGAAAAACACTCTACCCAGACCTCGCCTCCCTTCCTCCTTTGCCCGTGAACAAGATACAGTGGCCCTAGGGTCCCACTAGTGTCTGGTTTCCTTTATTATTGCACTGTGTGAGGTTTTTTTGTAAATCCTTTTATTCCTTTTTTTCTTTCTTTTTTTTTTTTAAGAAAAAAAAAAAACCTTAAGCTGCATTTGTTACTGAAATGATTAATGCACTGATGGGTCATGAATTCACCCTGAGGAAGACCCAAAGGCCAGTCAGGGGTTGGGGAGACTCAGCTAAATAGACCTAGTCACTGCCCTGCTAGGCCGTGCTGTACTGTGAGCCCCCTCCTCGTTCTCTTTCTACCAGTCCCAAACCCTGAGGCCGGAGGAAGGACCACATCCTTTCCTTCTCCTGCCGAGCCGGTCTGCCTTGCCTTTTCACTCCCTGTCAACCATAGAAACGAGTAAATTCCTCTTCTAGCTCAGCCTCGAGTCCATTGCCAAAATTCAGCATACCTGCCAGCAACTTGGGGAATAAGCTAAGGTTTCCCTACAAGAGGGAAAGAAGGCAAAAAACAAAAAACACACGGCCTATCTGTCTCCAAAACACCTGAGTTTGTTTTGAAAGTGACCAAGGGAATCTCCGCACAAAAGTGCAGACCGAGGAACTGTGGTGAGTCATTCCCAGGAACCCCCCAAGGGGCATCCCGAATCCCTAAGGAGTAACAGCTGCAAGCCTGGTCCGTTCTCGGCGAGAGCCAGCCCCCTTACAGCTTTGCTGCTAGAAACCTGTTGTGGCTGCATTTCCTGGTGGCCAGTGACAACTGTGTGACCAGAACAGCTGCATGGCGCTGACCCTATGGCCGGAACTTGGTCCCCTGGCTCCCTCTGTGACCGTCCACCACCTCCAGCACAGCCTTCCTGCTTTTAGACCAGTCACCAGAATTAAGGGGGAGGCCCTGGCAGCTATCTGTAAGTTTTCAACCAGACTCCTTTGCCGGGATACGGTCCGCCACCCTGCTTGCCTCTGTCAACCCCCTCCCGGCCCCCCCACCCCACCCCATCCCCGGCCAATGCAGTGAGCACCATGCAGCTCCCTTGATTTAAAAAAAATACAACAACAACATAAAAACAAAAGCAAAAAAAAAACACAAAAAACAAAAAAAACAAAAAAAATCTTTTAATGAATGTATCTTTCTAAAGGACTGACGTTCAATCAAGTATCTGAAATACTAAAGGTCAAAACCTTATCAGATGTTAACTTTTAAGTTTGATTTGGGATTTTTGTTTTTAAACTAGAAATCGAGTCTTGGGGGTTTTTTTTTTTCTTTTTGGTTTTTTTGTTGTTTTTTTTTTTTTCTTTTTAAAGGAAAAGCGGGTCATTGCAAAGGGCTGGGTGTAATTTTACATTTCGTTTCCTTCATTTTAAAGCAATACAAGGTTATCGAGCAGATGGGTTTGTGCCGAATCATGAATACCAGTCAAGTCTCACACTCTGAAAACTTGCAACTTTTCTTGTTTTGGTTTTCAAATAAATATAAATATGATATATATAGGAACTAATATAGTATTGCACCATGTAACAAAACCTAGTTCAGTCCATGGCTTTTAATTCTCTTAACACTATAGATAAGGATTGTGTTACAGTTGCTGGTAGCGCAGGAAACTCAGTCTGGCGCTCCTCTGATCCTCTGAAACTGGCCACTCCTAGGATCAGAGAGAAAAGCAGAAATGGTGTCACCTGGATTTTTTTCTGCCCAAGAATGTTGCCAGTCAGTACCTGTACTCCTCGTTTCTCTATTTTTGGTTATGAATGTTGGGGTTACCACCTGCATTTAGGGGAAAATTGTGTTCTGTGCTTTCCTGGTATCTTGTTCCGAGGTACTCTAGTTCTGTCTTTCAACCAAGAAAATAGACTTGTGGTGTTTCTTTTATTGAACTTTTAACAGTCTCTTTAGTAAATACAGGTAGTTGAATAATTGTTTCAAAAGCTCAACAGATGACAAGCTTCTTTTCTAGAAATAAGACATTTCTTGACAACTTTATCATGTATAACAGATCTTTTGGTTTTTTTCCTTGTGTTCTTCCAAGCTTCTGGTTAGAGAAAAAGAGAAAAAAAAAAAAAAAAAGGAAAAAAATGTGTCTAAAGTCCATCAGTGTTAACTCCCTGTGACAGGGATGAAGGAAAATACTTTAATAGTTCAAAAAATAATAATGCTGAAAGCTCTCTACGAAAGACTGAATGTAAAAGTAAAAAGTGTACATAGTTGTAAAAAAAAAAAAAGGAGTTTTTAAACATGTTTATTTTCTATGCACTTTTTTTTATTTAAGTGATAGTTTAATTAATAAACATGTCAAGTTTATTGCTGCACACGATCACACTTTCTTTTGGCTTTGGGCGGGGTGGAGGAACCAGCAGCCAGTGGCCTGTGCACGGACTTGCAAAGTACCTTCCACAGTCCTTTCTTTTAAGGTGGAATCCTTAAGTCTCTCTGCCTCACCTTCCTCGTGGCGCCAGGCCCCACTCCACATGGACTCTCTGAACAGTATATTCTTCCCTTATCGCCAATGGTGTGTGTTCAGGACCTAATTAATCCTGGATATGAAGACGGGGTCGAGAGAACAAGAAGAGCTTTATCTCCTGCATATTCCCTCTTTTTTTTTTTAATCCATGGGCTGTCAAGAGGGCTTCTAATGACTTCCAACTTATGAATATAATAAAATGAAGGCATTTCAGGGAGCATCCCCGCTGCTTCACTCCACCTTAAGGCAGAAATTGAACTTTACTCTGTTTGTTCCCCCGAGGACTGGGGTAGGGAGTTGAGAAACAGTTTTAAATATTCAGCCAAGCCAGGGTTGCTAACCCCAGGCCAAATGAGGTTGGGTTTACACTACAGCCAAGGATTGGAAGACACTCCTTGCGGGGGACGGACCTCAAACAGCACCTCTGCCCTCCCGATCAGCTGGTTGTGAGCCTCAGCCCCCACCCTCCCTCGCTCCCTCCTCTATCCCCAGTCACCCCGGATTTGGGAGTGGGGCACCATGGGGACTCCCAATGATCAGGCAGTGCTGCAGGCCATCTTCAACCCTGACACCCCATTCGGAGACCTTGTTGGGTTGGGCGTGGGAGAGGAAGTGGAGAAAGAAGAAGTAGATGAAGGTGAGTTTGACTTTGGACTGTAGTGGCCGCCTGTTGGCAGAGGATGGTCGTCTCACAAGACCTCTTGTTCTGTGACTCTTGAATGATGGTTGAAGTTGGAATCAGAGGTGGACTGATCCCTGGTGCACAGGTTGGGGGCCTGGCAAGAGTTTCTCCGCCAAAAGGAGAAAGCCAGGATTTGTCTGTCCTTCACCCTTCACACCTCTGAACTTCGCTCACCACCTAATTCATCCCATAATCCAAGCTCAACTGTGCTGGGGGTGCAGGGAGGCGCTAAACTCTCTCATCATTGTCATAACAGAAGCAATTTCACTCCGCACAGAACGCGGGGGGGGGGGGGGCTCCGCTGAATGGTTCTGACCTCAGCAGGCACTCAGGGTTCCTGAGCCAAGCCCTGAGCCAATCCTTACACAGAGTGAGTACACTCACTGCCTTCCTTCAGACTCCAATGGGGCCTTGTGTCCTGACATCAGTTTTTGGTGACCTTTGTGTCTGAAGGAGTGAAGCCTAAGCCTTACAGAAGCCAGTCTAGAAAGCGGAGGGGCACACCCGAGTGTGTCATGGTGGTCTTTGTGTTGGAGGCAGCGTAGTAGGAAAAAGATGGGGACAGGCTAAGGAACCAGAAAGACCTGGGTTCAAATCCAAGCTGTGCAACTTCCAGGCTGTGTGACCTTGAGTAGATCATTTAGCTACAGGCTAAGGAGTTTGGGCTCCATTCTCAGGACCCTTTGGAACTTAGGCAGCTCTAGCTGTCCGCCTTGGTGACCTCCGTTCCTCCTGCATCTGGCTCCTACCCGTGACCTCCCAGCCCACCGCTCCGGCTCAGGTCCCAGCTTTCCGAAGCTCAAGCTGGCTTTTGCTTCTTGCTCCCAGCTGCACACCTGTCCCTTCCCTCCTCCCTTCCTGACACAGATGGAGTTTTCCCTCGAGCACAGTTGGAGCAGTCCAAGGCCCTGGAGCTGCAGGGGGTGATGGCAGCGGAGGCTGGCGACCTGGACACGGCCCTGGAGAGGTTTGGCCAAGCCATCAGCCTGCTGCCTGAGCGGGCCTCCGCCTACAACAACCGAGCCCAGGCCCGCCGACTCCAAGGAGATGTGGCAGGTGAGGGCAGATGCCCTGGGGTCTGCACACCAGAGATGAAGTGGTTGTGGGGCTGGGGCCTGGGGGCTGGGGAGTCACTAGACTGTTCTGGAACCTGGTTCTTACCTATAAGAGCTATCTCACGGGCCCCACTCATATCTTGGGAGCTACTGTGAAGGTCAGAGAGATTGCATTCCATTCGTTTATTTAACAAACATATAATGAGAGCCTATGTCATAGCGGTGGGCTAGGGGCGGAGGACAAGGATGAAAGATAGACCACCCACAGGAACTACTCCGTGCCGGGCATCCGGCACTTTACACGTAATCCTCACAACAACCCCCAGAGGTGTGTGCTAGTGATACCTCCATTTTACATCTTTTTTTTTAATGTTTTATTATTTCTAGGAGAGAGAGAGAGACAGACAGCGTGAGCAGGGGAGGGTCAGAGAGAGAGGGAGTCACAGACTGAAAAAGGCTCCAGGCTCCGAGCTGGCAGTCAGCACAGAGCCCGACGCGGGGCTCGAACCCACGAACCGCGAGATCATGACCTAAGCGAAAGTCGGACGCATAACCGACTAAGCCACCCAGGCACCCCTGATACCTCCATTTTATAGAAGAGTGTAGCAGGGCTGGGGTTTGAAGCAGGTGGTGGGGCTCCAAGGTCTGTGTTCTTAATGCCCCTGTGCTACTGCTTCTCAAGAGGCTCACGGTCCAAGGGGTGGGCCAGACACACAACCGTGATACCAGCATGACAAGCTGAGAGGGTTCAGCACAGTTTCGCCCCCCTCCCCCCCCACCGCAGGAGTGAGTTTGAAGGGCAGCTGGAAGGAGGAGAGGAAAGGGGAGAAGGTACGGCAGGCAGAGACCCAGAAGGCACAGAAAAGTACAGGGAACTTCAGAACTCCAAGCTGGCTGGAGTGAGGAGTGGTGGGAGAGTGGAGGAGAGCCTGGAGAAGTAAACAGGGGCCTGATGGTTAACTGGGAATGTTAGGCAGGTCGGACTGCGTCTTGAACACATGGGGAATCACTAAAAGGATTTTAATCCTGGAAGGGGGACAGCGGGACAGAGAAAAGCCATGCTGGAGACCAGAGGGCAGACTGAAGATGTAAACCACAGAAGGCCGTCATGGTGGTCGAGGTGCCCGAGGCCAGGAATGCCAGCCTGCAGGGTTTTGAACTCCATTCTGGGAACAGTGGGGAACCAAGGGCCCCTTTTCCAGGCTCTGTTCCCTGGCTTTGGCAGGAGGGGGCTGAGTGGAGCTGTAAAAGCAGCTGAGGACAGTCTGTAGATTAAAAGCCCAGAAGTGATGCTGCCTGGAAAAGGCTTTCCACTCCTCCAGTCCAGCTCCTCAGAGGGAACCCCAGAAACGCTGTGAACAGAGGGCTTCTTAACCATCTGGGTGGCCTGGGGAGCACAGCCCCCTCTGGGTTCTGAGATCAAAACACACAGAGACTGGACAGAGATGGCCTCTCTGTACGATGATGCTGGAGCTCCTCACGTGCCCTGACAGCTATTTAGACGAGAAAGTGAACTGAGGCAGAGCCCAGAAAGCTGCAGGTGGGCCCTCAAATACTAATAGCTGCCTGAGTCTGAATTCAGGGTTCAATACCCATCGCCAGGTATTTCACGAGAATGTTACACATGACAATGTGCGGGGCCAGCTCTGGCTCCAAGACCTCCTTTAATGAAAATAGATAGAAAGTAATGAAGTTCGTGGAGACACAGAATGAGGAAGAACAGGTGAGGGAGAAGCGGTTTTAAATATATACATTTTAATATTTATTTATTTATGAGAGAGAGAACGCTAGAGGGGCAGAGAGAGAGGTGGACCTGAAGCACTCTCTGGGCTGACCGCAGAGAGCCCAGCCCATGTGGTCTTGAACTCATGAACCAGGACATAAAGACCTGAGCCAAAACTAGCTGCTTCACCTGCTGTGCCACCCAAGTGCCTCAGGGAAAAGTTGTTTCAAACCATACACTGAATAAGGGGAGAGAAATGCCTTCAAAGGGACAAGAAAGAGAAATGGATTTTACTGTATTTGTAAGAAATGGTTGTCAGTACATTATTATTTTTTTGGACTTTGAGATTCAGAGTCCGTCACCTGGCACACGGTAGATGCTTAATAGCCTGTGAATGGAAAAACCGGCCTGGTACTGCGGGACAATGGGCCAGATTCATGAGCATAGTGACCCTTCAGAATCGTCCCAGCACCCTTCACGTTTTACTGTATTCGGCGGTGAGAGGTCTTAGGGACTACAGTCAGCCCAGGGCAAGGCTGGCCAATCCTCCAGTGCGCATGCGTGCGAGGGGAGGCCCCATACCCCGCCAAGGAGCAAGGGCAAGGCGGGCTGTAAGGTGGCGCAGCCCCGGGGCCGCGGTTCTGACCCCCGTCCGTCCCGCAGGCGCCCTGGAGGACCTGGAACGCGCCGTGGCGCTGAGCGGCGGCCGGGGCCGCGCCGCCCGCCAGGGCTTCGTGCAACGCGGGCTCCTGGCGCGGCTGCAGGGCCGGGACGACGACGCCCGCAGGGACTTCGAGAGGGCGGCGCGGCTGGGCAGCCCGTTCGCGCGGCGCCAGCTGGTGCTGCTCAACCCCTACGCCGCGCTGTGCAACCGCATGCTGGCCGACATGATGCGGCAGCTGCGCGCGCCCCGCAACGGCCCTGAGCCCAACCAATAAAGCTGCCGGCTCTCCCCGACTCGCGCCCGTGTCTGCGTCCAGCCGCCGGCGCCGCAGCTGCGAGGCACTTCGCGGTCCGCCGGGGGCGGGGCGGCGGGGCGGGGCGGGGCGGGGGCGTGCGTGCGTGCTCGGCCGTTGATTGGCCCCGCCTGGCCCCGCCCGGGCTCGCCGTGGACTGCAGCGCCCTGCAGACATGAGCAGTCGCTCGGGTAGAGCGTGGGGAGGGCGCCAGGTGAGCCGCTTGGGGTGGCGAGGCGGGGCTGCCGTGCGACCCCCACCGCTCCCTAGCCGTTCCGGCCCACTTCCGCCTGGTCCCCTGAGGGTGGGAAAGGGGGCGTGGGAGAGTAAAGCGGAGACGGAGATAGGGGTCCAGAGGACGGTCCCCTTGGGGGAAGAGTACTGCCGCGCGTGCGCGCGAGCCGCGCAGTGCGGGCTGCGCCGTCGCGCGCGGTCTCTGAGCCCGCGCGCCGGCGCTTGTTTGTGCCTTGGGGGCGGCGCCGGGTTCCGAACCCTCAAGGTGGGCTGGTAGGTGCTGGGTGGGCTCCGGCCTTTACGCTGGGGTGTTCGCGTCCTGTCTTCGCCACTGGGGGCCAGTCTCCATTTGGGTGTCGGTGCACGTGTTTATTTTTGTTTCGGGGGAGTACATTCCTGGAGGAATTACCGAGGCTGCGTGCGGTCACCTGGCTAACATCAAGGCCCGCCCCCTTCTCTCGGCAGCCACCATGGCGCTGCCCCCAGGCCCAGCTACCCTCCCGCACACACTGCTGCTTCTGCCAGCCCTTCTGAGCTCAGGTACACTCCCGTTTACCCCTTGGCCGAGCACTTCTGGGGGCAAGCCCCCCTCTCCCCTCTTTGTCTGCACCTTGTGTTTGGGAACCCGCTTCAGGCCACAGAGACCAGAGCTGGCTTCCTCTCCCCCACCTCGCCGGGGTCCAGCCAGTTCCTGGTGAGCGAACCTAGGTGCTCTGGTCCTTGGCCCCCTGCCCCTCTGTAACCGGCTGTCGTGCTGGTCACAGGCCACAGCACCCCAGTACCGACCTTCCCCTAGCTCTCCCCAGAACCCCCTGCTGTGTTCCAGGTTGGGGGGAATTGGCACCACAAATTGATGGTCAGACTTGGGCCGAGAGGGCACTTCGAGAGAACGAACGCCACGCCTTCACCTGCCGGGTGGCAGGGGGGCTTGGGACGCCCCGCCTGGCCTGGTACCTGGACGGACAGCTGCAGGAGGCCAGCACCTCAAGACTGCTAAGCGTGGGCGGCGAGGCCTTCTCCGGAGGCACCAGCACCTTCACGGTTACCGCCCAGAGGGCCCAGCATGAGCTCAACTGCTCCTTGCAGGACCCGGGCAGTGGCCGGTCAGCCAATGCCTCCGTCATCCTCAATGTGCAATGTGAGTGCCTCTGAGATGGGGCAGGGACAGAGGCTCCGTGCCCTGGGACCCCCAGCAGCCACCAGGCAGGGGGTCTGATAGAGCAGCTAGCAAACACTTAAGCACTTTGCAAGTATGAGCTCAACATTATCCTCTCGATAATCCTGTGAGGTGGCTGTTACTGATATCCCCATTTTACAAGTGAGAAAACTGAGGCACAGATTGCTTCCGTGCTCTGTGTGCAGCCCTGCGGCTTGTAAGCAGAGCCAGGATTCAAATGCGGGCAGTTTGGTTCTCGCTGTTAATCCCTACGAAGTGCTGCGTCTCAGGGAGGCCCAGCCTGTCGCCCAGTGCCTCCCCGGGGAGAGGTCCAGGCCCCCAGCTCCCTTCTGGGTTTGGGAAGAACGGGCAAGGAGTACGGGGGCCATGATGAGAGTATGTTGGCTTCTGTTTTGCACCAGTTAAACCAGAGATCGCCCAGGTTGGGGCCAAGTACCAGGAAGCTCAGGGCCCAGGCCTCCTGGTTGTCCTTTTTGCCCTGGTGCGTGCCAACCCACCCGCCAACGTGACCTGGATCGACCAAGATGGGCCGGTGACTGTCAACGCGTCCGACTTCCTGGTGCTGGATGCCCAGAACTACCCCTGGCTCACTAACCACACCGTGCAGCTGCAGCTCCGCAGCCTGGCGCGCAACCTGTCCGTGGTGGCCGCCAACGACGTGGGTGTCACCAGCGCTTCACTTCCGGCCCCGGGTGAGCACTGCCAGCGACTGGCCCGGCAAAGCCCCAGGTGGGTGCAGGATCACAGTACAGCAACGGGGTGACTGGTTGCCCTCTGAGTGAGTCTCGTGAACGAGCTGTGCCGACCGCCTCGGGCAAGGAGGACTGAGGGGTACCTGTAGTGTCTCAGAGTTGGGGGCCCTGCCCACCTAGAACCTAACCAGAGGACAACTTGCAGGGCTTCTGGCCACCCGAGTGGAAGTGCCGCTGCTGGGCATCGTTGTGGCAGGAGGGCTTGCCCTGGGCACGCTGGTGGGGTTCAGCACCTTGGTGGCCTGCCTGGTCTGCAGGAAAGAGAAGAAGACCAAAGGTAGGTCCAGAGCCCGGAGGGGGAGGGGGCTGGCAGAGAGAGGGAGGAGCGGCGACGGCAGCACGTGGGGCTAGGCAGAGCAAGTCCTCTGACCAGTGGCAGAAAGGGTCTCCCTGGGCGTGGCCATGGGTGAAACCAGATGCAGCTCAGGGCTGCTCACTGGGAACCCAGTCTGTCCCAGGGGCTGGGCATTAGAGAGATCCTAGTCTGAGGGTCCTGGGTGTGAAAGGGCATCGGGGCAGAGCCCACAGTGAGGAGGTGGCCTGAGAAAATGTGTGATTTCTTTCTCCCCAGGCCCCTCCCGGCGCCCGTCTCTGATCTCTAGGTAACTCTTTCTGGGGCTGGCTGGGTGGGCCGAACTGAGATGCAGCATGGGGACGGTTGGAAACCGGGGGTCTCTCTAGTGCTGGAATGGGCCCCCCAGGCCGGAATCTGTGCCTGCTGGAGCCAGGGCATATCCCAGGCTCTGTCCACCCCGTAGTGATTCCAACAACCTGAAACTCAACAACGTGCGCCTACCACGGGAGATCATGTCCCTCCCGTCCAACCTTCAGCTCAACGACCTCACTCCGGATCCCAGAGGTGCGCCTTTTGTCTGCCGCTGGCACTAGGAGGGGCTAGGGCCCGCTAGGCACCCTCCTCATCCTGGACACCACCCCGTTTGTCACCCACAGAGAGACCGGCAGACCGGCAGATGGCTCAGAACAGCAGCCGGCCAGAGCTGCTGGACCCGGAGCCTGGTGGCCTCCTTACCAGCCGAGGTACGGGGACAGGTGCCCACGGCCCCCCTCCTCTGCTCCCCAGCCCTTGTGCTTATGGCAGAGGCCTCTGGGTCTCCAAGGGGCGGAGAGGGGTCTCCCAACTCCCAGGCAGTGAGGTTCACTGAGACTCACGGCGTCTTTGGCCTTGCAGGTTTCATCCGGCTCCCAATGCTGGGCTATATCTATCGAGTGTCCAGTGTAAGCAGTGATGAGATCTGGCTCTGAGCCGGGCAAGATCGGAGTGGGGGGGGTGCCCTCTTGGCTCCTGGGCCCCCACCTCCTCCTCCAAGGCAGCCTCTGCCTGGCTCCGTTGCCAGGTCATGCCACTGCTACTTTTGCTTGCCCTAATGGCCGGGGTGCCCTCTGTCATCCACATGACACCTTTCACTGGGATCGGGCCCTCAGGGGCACAGTTATCCCTGGCGGAGCCACCAGCTGGACCTCAGCCCCGTGTTCTAACTCAGGTTGAGAGCCTCCACTGATGCAGGTGCGCAGGTGGGGGGAGCTCTCTGTCCAGGTGTGTTTGCCGAGTGTGGCGTGGCCCTGCTGGCCTGGGCCTGCCCTGAGTCTCACTCCAGGACCCTTAGCACTTTGTACCGCAGGCATGGGGGCATGCCCGGGTGGGGGACAGGGAGGGCCCTGCATGTCTTCAGTTTCCTTCCCATGCTATGCAGCTTTGTTCCCTCAGGGAAAATTTAGGACCCTGAGAGCTATATGGAACCAAACTGTCCTTTGCACAGGAACCAACCCCCGGCACAAGGGCAGGGGCCAAGCACAAACGAATCCCTTTTGCCACATACTTCTCTGCCCTTCTTTGTCTGCGCCTCCTCTTGGGCCTTGTAGGTTATAACAGTGGACCTTCTCGCATTTCTCCACTGGACAGTAGACCCAAGGGTCTGGTGTTAGCACAAGTCAGGAGGAAAAGAGGGAGATGGGAAGCCGAGGGGCACCCAAGGCAGCATGTAGCTATGCATCGTTTTCTTACTGTGTTAGCACTTTAAGCACATCCCCTGGGGAGGGGGTACGTGAGGGCTTCCGGGCCCCAAGTCTGGCCTTCTGTGATTCACTGTGAGTGCCCTGAGCCCTCGGGATTAACTGTCCCTCTTAACATGTCTCCCCCACCATGGGACCCCATGACCAGCGCCCAGTGCCTCCTCAGCAGGAAGCTGCTCTTCCTGTCCCATCTCTTCAGGGGATGGTCAAAGTGGCACGTTATTAACAGAGCTAGAAGTTTTAGGGGGACACGGAGAAAGAGGGGACCACACACCACAAAATAAGGACTCTTTGGAAAGCAACGTAGAAATGATTGCAAATTAATACAATGCAGAGTATATTTTTCCCTTGATATCTTGTTTTGTAATTTTTCTCATGTTAACTGCCTAGGACAGTGCTGAGCACGCGGTAAATTTAATAAACTTGACTGAGCAAATGTTACATGTCTGTTTCATTTCTTCGTATATGGTTTTAAAACAAAATCTTTGGGGCACCTGGGTGGCTCAGTCGGTTAAGCCTCTGACTTTGGCTCAGGTCATGATCTCACAGCTTGTGGGTTCGAGCCCCGTATCGGGCTCTGTGCTGACAGCTTGGAGCCTGGAGCCTGCTTCCAATTCTGTGTCTCCCTCTCTTTCTGACCCTCCCCTGATCACACTGCCTCGTTCTCTCTCAGAAATAAATAAAACATTTAAAAAAATTTTTTTAAAAACACAAAATCTTTAAATCACACATTTAAAAAAATTTTTTTTAATGTTTTATTTTTCAGAGAGAGACAGAGACAGTATGAGCAGGGAAGGGTCAGAGAGAGAGGGAGACACAGAATCTGAAGACAGGCTCCAGGCTCTGAGCTAGCTGTCAGCGCAGAGCCCGACGCAGGGCTCGAACCCACGAACCGCAAGATCATGACCTGAGGTGAAGTCAGACAGTTAACTGACTGAGCCACCCAGGTGCCCCCTTTTTTTTATTTAATTTTTTTAATGTTTTAAAATCACACATTAAATAGAGGAAACACCTGTGTATCCACTACTCAACTCTGTTGAATCTTAGCACTTTACCTTGTTTGGTTCAGATATTTTAGTTTTTAAAATAATGCTATTTCTTTAATTACACTGTTCTCAGTGGCAAGGCTGCTGTTTTCTATTTCGGGAGTGCCGGCACCCAGACCCCAGCTCTCCAGCCAGTGTCTGAGTCTCATTTGATGGACTCTCCATCTGTCAGGAGTGTGGCTAAGCCATGCTGAGCCCTTTTGTCCTGACTAGGGGTACGGAAGGCTCGGACTATGCTGTGATTTCCCAAAAATTACTTTTTCTGGAGAATTGTTAAGGGAAAAAAAAGACTAGACATGGGATGAAGTTTTTGAGAGCAGATTTATATCCTATTTTCTTGAACAAAGATGGGCTTGGCTTGCATAGCTCTGTGTTTTCTGGCTACTCCCCTTGCTTCTCTTGTTCCTTAGGGTATCTAAGGAACTAAGGTGCTTAGGGTTCTCCGTGGGAGGGGCTAAGGCTGCCCTAGACTCCCGAGAGAAAGTTTTGGGAGAAAGAGAGACAGAATCCCAAGCAGGCCTGATGCAGGACTCGAACTCATGAACAGTGAGATCACAACCTGAGCCAAAATCAAGAGTCAGATGCTGAACCATCTGAGCCACCCAGTTGTCCCCAGCCTCTGCTGGTTTTGTATGCAAGCTGCTTTGGTGGCCCCAGAGCTTTTAAAGGTCCGGGTGCCTTGCTGCCAGTTCTGTTGACTGTCCTCTGCTGTTTCTTTGAGAGGTCCCCGAGCCCTTTCCTTGATGGTTCTTTGGCAAGTCTATGAGCCCTGTGCATCCCCTCATTTGCCCTTATGGTGTTACCTCAGCAGAAAAGTGGGTTCTTCTTGGCAAACCCATCCTTGCAAGTATTTGCGATGGGGTGGACTTTCAAACTGGTGTTCCAGTTCTCCAGACATATCCCTACGGTCAGAGATTCCTTGTTCCTTCGTTGAGTCCCAGGCCTCTTGGAGAGTTTGATGAAAGACTCTTTTCTGAGAAAATGCAGGTGAAGAAGCCTGCTCGTTATGCAGCTCAGTGCCCATCAGATTACAACTTGGGTAAACCTTGCAAAGATGCTGAATGAAGCCAAACCCAAGGACCATGTGTGATTCCTTTCATATGAAATGCCCAGGATGGGCAAAGCTACAGAGACAGAATAGGCTAGTGGTTACCAGAGACTGGAGGGAGGGAAGAATGGAGAATAGTTCCTAATGAATATGGAGTTTCTTTTTGGGGTGATGAAAATGTTCTGGAATTAGTGGTGACTGATGCACAACTTTGTGAATAGACCAAAAACCACTGAGCTGTATGCTTTACAAGGGTGAACTTTATGAAATACAGATTATATCTCCATAAAGCTGTAGAGGTTTTTGTTTTTTTTTTTTAAGTAAACTTTACCCCCAATGTGGGGCTCAATTTCATGAGCCTGAAATCAAGAGTAGCATGCTCCATCGACTGAACGAGCCAGGCACCCCAACAAAGCTGTAGTTTTAAAAATCATCAAGTGGAAAAAAAAAAATCAAATGGTAATTTGATTTGTAAATTTCACTATATATAAAACTCACATGACAAAAAACCATAAGTAAATACTGAACTCCAGTTAATTATACACAGGATAAATTGTTTAGGGGTGAAGTGTATTGATGTCTGCAATTTAATTTGAGATGTATCAAAAAACAAGATGGATTGATGAATGGATAGAGGGATGGATATCTGAGAAAACAAATTTAGCCAAAGGTTGTAGGATTTGGGTGGTAGATATATATATACAATTCTTCCAAAACTCTTCTATAATTTTTTATAATGAAATATTGGGAAGGGGATTCCTGATCTAGTTCCTTCTCTGATACTTCTCAGATCTTTTTTTACCTAAGGATCATGAAATTTTCAAGCATTACATAATGCCCCTGACATGACAGTGCTCTCTTTCCTGGGAAGGAACACCAGTTTTTAATATACTTCAGCCACCTAGACTTTAATCTTTACCCTCTAACAATAGGTAGGTTGTTTGTTACCTTGACCTTGAATGTACAGCACTCCAACATTTGGAGAGGCATAGCTCAGGTTGCATTTTCCCACCTGGACTTTGTTTTACTGAATTTCTACAGACACAGTAACTGTTTGATGAGGACTTGAAAAATTAATGCTCAAGCTTGTGCATTGCTGATGGGTAGGTAAAATGGTGCCGTCACTGTGCAAGACAGTATGGGAATGGTAGTTCCTCAAGAAGTTAAACCAGTGGGGGTGCCTGGGTGGCTCAGTTGGTTAAGCGCTAGATGGATTTCAGCTCAGGTCATGATCTCACAGTTTGTGAGTGTAAGCCCCGTGTGGGGCTCTGTGCTGACAGCTCGAAGCCTGGAGACTGCTTCAGATTCTGTGTGCCTCTCTCTCTCTCTGCTCATCCTTCGCATGAGCTCTGTCTGTCTCTCTCTCAAAAATAAATAAACATTAAAAAAAATTTTTTTTTTAAGTTAAACCAGCAATCCCACTTCTAGGTTTATTCCCCAAAAGAAATGAAAGCAGGGACTCAAATAGTTCTTTGCATACCAGTTTCAATAGCATTATTTGCGATCGCCAAAATTGGGAACACCTCAAATGTCCTTTAGCAGATGAATGGGTAAAGAAAATGTGGCATATATGCAATGGAATATTATTCAGCCTTTTAAAAAGGAAGGACATACACTACAAGGTGGATGAACCTTGAAGAAAACATTATGCTAAGTGAAATAAACTAGATAGAATAGGACACATTTTGTATGATTCCACATATGAGGTACTTAGGCTTGGCAAATCCATAGAGACCAAAAAAATAGAGAAGTTACCAGGGGCTGTGGGGAAGAGAAGGTGGGAGTTAATGTTCAATGGGAACAAAGTTTCAATTTGAGATGATGTAAAGTTCTGAGGCTAGATGGTGGCGATGGTGGTATAACACTGTAGGTACTTACTGCCACTGAGTTGTATGCTTAAGAATGATTACAATGACAAGTTTCATGTTATGTGTATTTTACTTTTTAGAAAAGTTTATTCAATTTATTTAAACTGAAAAAAAAAGTTCACTCGTTTCTCTCATCCCCCGTTGCCTCTTGCAACTGGCAATCCATTCTACTTGGATTTAAAAATTTTGACTTTACAGATTCAATCTCCTTACTAGTTACAGGTCTTTCAAACTTCCTACTTTGTCAGTCTTGGTCGGTTTTGTGTTTCTAGAAATTTGTTCATTTTATTAGGTGAGCCAAATTGTTTTTCACCTCCCAGGGCAAGTCACATGGTCCAACCCAAAATCAAAAGATAAAGAAGCATCCTGTGCTTATCGTGAAGCCATTATAGGAGGGGGCTGCATACTAACCCTAGGTGAGTGAAGAATTATTCCCAGTAATTTAAATTCTTTTTGTTTATGTTTATGTTTATTTTTAATTTAATTTAATTTAATTTTTTATTTCTAGGAGAGAGAGAGAGAGAGAGAGAGACAGCGTGAGCAGGGGAGGGCCAGAGAGAGAGGGAGTCACAGACTGAAACAGGCTCCAGGCTCTTAGCTGTCAGCACAGAGCCCGACGCGGGGCTCAAACCCACAAACCGTGAGATCATGACCTAAGCGAAAGTTGGACGCTTAACCGACTAAGCCACCCAGGCGCCCCTATTCCCAGTAATTTAATCTGTTCAATCTTATTGCCTAGAAGACCCTGCATGATCTGGTCTTAGTTACTTTTTTAATTATTATTATTTCTTGAGAGAGAGAGAGACAGAGAGAGGAGGAGGAGGGGCAGAGAGAGAGAGAATCCCAAGCTAGTTCTGCACTGTCCGTGTGAAGCCCGAGCAAGGCGTAAACCCACAAACCGTAAGATCATAACCTAAGCTGAAATCAAG